ATATATTAACGAGAAATTAGGTATATTCACTCATGGCTGCCACCATGTTTCTCATTCTCCAAGGCGGGTACACGTAGTTGTTGATAAGGGAGTTGGGCAAATTATGATGCACACCCAACGAGTGTATGGCCTAACACAGGGAGCGTCTAAGCACAACTGTACACCGTCTGGTTAGGATCAGGCATAATCGTAATAATTAGTTTAGGTAATAGCTGGATCCACAGACGTTCTGTGTGTACCTGTATAAGTAGCTCTAAGGCCAATGACAAGCCTAAGCGTTTCGTGCTGGAAATTCTTTTATCTATTATAAATATTCATGTTTTACGATAGTTTCGTTGAATCGTAAGGACTATTCCAAAGAAAAAAGAGTATTAATTCAATATATTTATTAGGAATATTGCACATCTGAGCTTCAGTTTTTTATTGTCATGATGTTGCATAGCTTTAAATGAACAACGCAAGTGTTCTACATATATATATATATATATACCACGAACGTTATGGTTAATAACTTATAGAAGATCGACACCGGTACAGACACTTTATAAGGCTCCACTTGGAAAAAATAATTCAACTTTTTCTTCATTTTGTTTCTCTTCATGTATATATCATTTAAGCGCTGGCTCCACCTGATGTATAATTTGGGGCCTACGTAAGCTGCTTCTGTACAATTCGCAACAACCTCTTTCTACAGTTTTTTTAAGCAGTTTCTTAAGGTGCTTTGAGTGCAGTGGTAGCGGTTGAAGATCCCGCCATCTGCAATGCCACACAAATAGAAGAATACACAACCAATTATGGTACCTCGGAGCAAATCGGACTCGTTGGGCCGGCGCGCTGCTTCTGTAATGTTCATGTGATAATAATTTAAATAAGACCTTTACTTATAGAGTTGATTATGTTTACCATAAGATAAATTCATCATCTGCCTCAGATATTTTATTAATCGAAGAGAGTCTGATTGTGCTACATGATTAGGAAGAACAAGGACGAATAATCCTAGCCAGGAATAACGAGATTCCGCGACGGCTCTGATAGGGCTCTCTAGCATTGCATCACCAGTCCTGAACAGTCGAACCCGAAAGACAGATAAGTTGACGTAATTTGAAAGGCGTCACCTTCAGCGTTTCTGCGGCTTTTCGAAAGAAAAAATTATATAATTTAAGGCGTTTGCTACACGAACTTACTTACATGCGATTTTTATTTATAAATACGATAAAAGCAGTGCTAATAACCATACTTCAAGTCAGGGTGCGCTTTTGCTTTCCATACGTGAAGACCATATATAATTTTGTGCAGAAACGAATATGGAAAGTTTGCTAATTTTTTTTTCGCAGATTGGTCCCGTATCCGTAGCCATTAGCGTTCCCTTGTCCCTAAAACTTTATCACTCTGGTGTATATGATAACCCGAAATGCAAAGCATGAAGTTACGCATATCGCTTTCGTTGTTAGCTACGGAATCGTGAACGATAAACGGGCTGCCTATGCCCTGTACGCGCAACACAAAGTACACAGGTACGTTGTACTTATGCAGAAGTAACGTGGCACAAGTTTACATTGGCAAGTCGTTTCTAAAAATCAGGGTGCTCTAGCAACTTTAGAATATTGCAAATTCAAAGTCTTGTCATTTAAAGGTTTCACATTGTTTTGTTACTGCCAATACGACCCTCTTCTGTCATTCTTATTTATTTTACACGTAATTTTCACGGATTGAAGTATCTTATTGTACTCCGTAGATCTTAAATAGCAGTCCTGATCATAATCGTTCTGTATTTCTGCATTTTAGTCTAGTTAATGAAATAGTTAAATCCGGCTAATCTCTTGATCTATATACGTTTCGGGCGACGCTAAATGTCTTCATATTTTTTGTCGGATGGTATATAAAGTGAAAATGGCCTGGTATTGCTGAAGAGTAGGACAATATTTTTTTTTTTTGCTAACAGGACTCGTGTTTTATCAAGCATTACTGAAATCTTATGTTAATATGAACTCGTGATCTGAAAGCGGTATTGATTGATTTTAGTCACCATTGATACAAGCAAGCAAAGCCAATGATGGGAAATTTCGGATACAGACTAGCCTTGCGTGGAAGCAGAGGGACCGAGCACTGATTGTAATGGAACACAATAATTTTTATTGCTTATAGTCTAAATAAGCATTGCAATAATACTGCCTGACGATGCTCAAGGTTTAATATGAGACTGATCTACGACAAAAGAGTATCTGCATCTGTTTCTCAAATCTGACCTGATTGCACTTCGTCTATATGAAATTTCTATAGAATTAATTATGTTAATGATGAACCAGATAACGCGATAAGTACGTAACAAGCATAAAATCATACCAGTAGCTGGTTTGCCATAAAATATAAGGAGGAGTAATAAAGGATATATGTGAGAATTATGCTTTTCAACCCTATACGGCGACATTCCCCAATTTCAGGGCTATCGGTTGGTGAGAACTTTGTGGAGAAAGAAAGATTACATTCCTATGGCGCGCATTAATGGCTTTGCCAATCAACTGACCTTGGTATTACCTATTCGATAACAACAAGCTGCCTTAACTCGTCAAAATAAGCACGGTTGATAAGATCAAGAACCAGCCAAGGAAAGTCGAAACACTAATTATATAGATTAAAAAGTGAATTAGGTTTAAGACCGAAAACAGTAAACCAAATAATTTCATTATGCAATTTAATGGTCCAATGTCAGTTTTGCCTATGTCGGGCATTTCTTACACACAGGGCTGGATCGGCCCTTTGTCCCTTTCTCAAATCCTTATATTGCTTGTGATTAATCAGCTTAACCCGTTCATAGAAATAATACTGACGATAAACGTATGATTTGTAATTTTAATAACACGAGTTTGCAAAGGCCGCTGTTCTTCTGTATTTTCGTTCTGTGTAGCATTTGGTACACCGCTAATGAGGAAAGTCACGTGAAGCATATGTAATATAAATGCTCTGAGTAAGTTAGCGGAATTTTCCGCTATTGTAGCAGAAGGAAGCAGGCGGACACACGAACGAATCCTCCTCATGCCGAAAAAAGCACATGCTTGTTGTATTGATCCCTAGAGTGCAACGAACGCGTGACATTCAACAAACTCAACTACACAGGTGCCCACGTTTGTCTATTTACATAATAATAACACGTCATACTTGAAACCTGTAATTATTCAGTATCGATTTTTCCTCAACAACACTTGCGTAGATTTTGCGTACATGAACGTTTGTAAACTGATTTAGTGTAGTACCCCTAAAAGATGTACGTCCCCACTCCCCCCGCCCCAGTGCACGCTATATGTCGCCAGTTCAAACAGGACAAACACGATCTCAAAAGAGCCTTGTATGCAGGTAAAGCTACCACTTTTGTCCCACAACAGTTTCTAGTTACTGCACATAGGACCGCATTCTATTAATTACGTATTACACAGTGTCAGCTACCTGCTGACTAACTCTCCATGAGACAATCAAAAAAAGGAGCAGACGACTGTATACAGCAGAAGTGCTATCCTCGTTATCCGTGAGTTGGTATTTCAAGCCAGCATAGGCTGGAATATGTTATTAGGTTATTAGACAGGACAAAACAACAAGAATCACAACTACAATGCTGCTAAGGAAGCTCGTATGAAGCGGGAAATGAATCAGCGCCGCAACAACGTAAACGTCATCAGCAATCGTCAGATTAATGCGTACCTGTGCGAGTTAAGTGGTATGATTCAAAATGAAAAGAAAGAGTGATCATCGACAGACGATGGGAACATAAAATTGGGCTAGCGTGATATGATAAAGGTTTTTGTTGTGAAGTAAGGGTGGGTTTTACCGCATCGGCGTGTTTACTCTGCTTCCGCTGCATAAGCGCGCGTATCTTATCGAAATGGCGGCGACGCTAGGAGCCACACGAAACTAACCGCCTATAGCAACAGCAGGGAGAAAGGGGGGCAAGTCGGTTTCATTATAGCAACGGCAATGAAAACGGAACGCGTTTATGTCACACAGCTTCATCAACGGTCGAACACATAGACGAACCAATATGCAACACAGCCAAAATAAGTTTATGAAATACTAGTTTTTAATAATAGCTCACAGATATTATAAGGGTATTACAGAGTGTACACATGAAGATATTTGGTGTACCGCATGCATAGCTCAAGTAGAATCACTTATTTGACGCTAATATCGCTGCTGAAAAATCGAATGGCGGCAGATCTACCGGCACACCTACACGAATACATATACCGTGCCTTTGGCAGAGAGAAATTTTGGTTTTGTTGCAAGACAGAAATTCCAGCGTAATTCGCAAAAATTAAAGTCGATGCAGTATAAAATTCGGATTGCGCAGCTCCTTATTGCTCTCTGACAAGCAAATTTCAGTACTCCACTTGTGCTTTGAAGGCGGAAGTTACTTAGAGGTTCGTTAACTTCTTGCAAAATTTCGTTATCCAGTGGTTAAACCGTCACTCTGCAAATTTTTAAACGTGTAACCGCCCTGAAAATTCGAGTCATACCACATTTTATATAACGCTGCAATTTATCCAGGCTGAATTAGAATCATAATAAAACAACACGTGTCTGAGCTGAAGCAGATGATCAAAAGAAAAATGTGAGCATTTTTAACTATTTTTTGTGCTCTGTTCGCTATTGTCATATCTTATGGACAGTGTGTTGGCACATTAAGGCAAACAAACTTAGGACTCGGTCTAGTCCTGTAAAGATTTTTTGTATTCTATATACTACAATAGTTGCTTATGTCTGCCTAGATACTATAAGCCTTTGTGCTACTTTCCGGGCTACATCGACGCCCTTTCTCTTGCTCACTGAGCCTTTCTTGAATTTTGATTTTTTAGACTAGTCTACGGCAGTAGGAAATTACGTTTTTTTTTTTTGTTTTTTTTTTTGGCCGCACATCCACATACGACGATATCGCAGAACCTTCTCTATAGGTTCGAATCGATGAAGCAGCCGACCAGATGACTGACTGGTCGCTAACAAGAGTAGCCACCGAAAAGATAAGCGCAAGATTCGCTCCTCAGCAAATCCTACGTCCACTCCTAGACACAGTCTGCCCTCTCCTGTAAACGACTGGCGTACAAAAGCACTACCTTTAGCGACCTCATATATTCACTACTGAATCTCCGTCAAGTGAAAACGTTCATCCTGCAACGACAAACGAGACAGCGAGACACTAAGGCCACACCCGTTAGGTTTCTACTGCCTGAACGCCACTGGCTTAGCCGGCGGACCTACGCTGATATCAAGTTTATTCTTCATCTCACATTGCTAAAGTGGAAATTGCGCCAGTATTGGAGTATCATCGGAGGTCCTCGGGTTGGAGGAATACATCAAACGCGCTGTACAACAAAGCGAAAGCGGATCAGAGAACATTAGGGTTGAAAAAGAAATCGTCATCACCAAGAACAACGATTAAAAACAAGTGAACTTCACCTTTGCAAGAGAAACCTCCGCGGACCGCTCCGTAGTTATACGCAACTAACGATGTCTCAGGTGGCCATGCGCGATCTTTGCCTAGGTATTCAGCTGAAGCCATTGCCAGCTCCCCAAAAGCGTTCCCCTGATGTGCCCCACGCGCCGATGCGAAATGTGCCTCTTACCAAAGACGAGACTAAGGTTAGCGTAAATGATCATTAATTTGCGCGAGTAACCAACACGCTGCAGAGCGAACTCGATCGGATGGATCGTGCGCTTCTTCTAACTAAGCTAACGAATCAATATCGAGAACGAGACCCGTAGTAATGTTTTGTGCTGACAAAGTAACTAAGCGATTCCCCAATGAGACGAACGAAGACGTGTATATAAAAGTTCTGCTTATACTAGAAAACCGTACATTATCTTGCTTACGACAATTTATTTAGAGACGCAAGATTGTCGGCTTATTGTATTATAAGACAAAATGAGAGTTAAAACGTATGGCTATCTTAGAACATTGCTAGTTGCTTTTGCGAAGCCGATGTGACGGGATATTTATGGAAAAGTGCTTTGAAACTGATCTTCTAAATTTTATTTCTCTCTGGGCAAAAATCTTTTAAAAATAGGGTAATTTTTGGTGTAAGCTAGGAACGCTTTAGTACGGCGGTCGCGTGAAATTTAACTAACGCTTTCCAAATTTGAAAGTAATTTGCGGGTAAAAGATTTTTAAAGCGCGTAAATAACATTATGCGGAAATGTCAATGCTCCTTAAGTAACCTATACGTTTCTTTTGTTATTAATACAGACAAGGCCATACATTTTTTGCGTATTTTCCGTTGCGAGATTCTGTGCACCTTCTTGGAGGGTAATCGGACAATCGTTGTTGTTTTTTTCAAACTGATAATGCAAATTATTAGAAAGCTTTAAATTTAAATATCAATTATGTTAAGGTTAGGTGTGAGTTATGGTAGATTCGCCTACCACGTATAGGGTGCTTCCAGCTTTTACAAAAATCATGCAATTATTAAATACGAATACTGATGGTCAGTGGTTTATATATTAAGTAGATTCCAAACTCAGATCCACCTTAGTGCCTATTTTTCGTTGGCATACATAGCGGCTAACTATTTGACATCTTAAAAGTTTTATTGAGAGAAAAAATTCCGTTCTATGTCATACAATTAAGTTATATTTCTACTAACCTGAGCTCGTATCATTTGCCAAAATCCTTGGATTCGTTCCAAAGACAACGGGAGACAGTTTTTCCTACCGTAAGAGGACTTGCATGTTACAATCGCCATTTGCACGGTGTTAATTTCGTACGTAAGGACTTGCCAAGTATAGCGGTACCCGTATTAAGGCGATCGTGTGCGTCCGATGAGTATGTATAGTGTTTTTTTGCTGTCAATTGAATCAGTTTGACGCGCCTCGGAACGTATTTCTCCAGCTCCAAAATATTAGGCCTACATTGTCGTATGGTACAGCGTGTTATTTTTGGACGCATTTTATGTATTCTATTCCAGATTCAAGCGTTCTATCTATAAACGAATTTTACGTAGCAGACAATTTGATTGTTGCATTAATGACGAGGTTCCCGATAAAAATTAAACGTTGCTAAATCATAATAAGTACTAAAAAAACATCATAATAGGCTAATTGAATCTGTTATTTTTTGAAATAACACATGGCCCTGTATAATAATAATAATAATAACATTTAGCAGACATAATAGTTGCCTGTGGTAGCGCTGTGATGCTAGACTTCAAAGTCGACCGACTAACTTTTTCTGACGAGCAGTACCGGACCGATAACAACAACAACGGCTAATATAAATAATAATTTAAAACTTTACAGATCGCTTTGAAAAATGCTCTTCGATATTTTCCACAAAGGTTTCATCATATCTTGGCGCCTGAATTCGCTTCGGAACTCAAAAAATATGGCCATATCTACATGTACCGCTTTAAACCGTTTCAACCTCTCAAGTGAGTCAAGTTATGGTCCCTAGAATTTTTTGGAATAATCACCAGGTCACAGCAAATTTAGAATGAATCTACTGTTTCATAGAGCCGATAACTGTTTCATTTAATTAGAGTGTCTCTACTAGTTCCGGGACCATATTTTGTTTATCAGTTGCCTACCAGCGCGTTTACAATCAAATATTCATCGATGATTTGAATATATCGGTGGACTCTTGGTTAAGAAAACGAACTCAAAGTGACAAACAATACAGCCAATAGTGATTTATGTCCGAAGATTTTCCTGCATACAGGCATGTATCCATTGTCCCGCCTCCGTTGGTTCCAAACAGAATTGATTCTTGAAATCGAGTGTTTCAAATAATCAGGGTCTAGTATCTGTGTCATCACAGTCACGTCTCTCCCATTGTGTCTATACAGACGGCTGAACTGATCCTATGCACGTTTAGAAAAAGTTTATCGTTCACGACTAACCTATTCATGTTTCGTTCATTAACAGGGCATACCCGATTGAAGAATATCCGGCTAGAAGTGTACAAGCAGCGGCAATAATGTTGATGATCTGCAATAACCTTGACCCCCAAGTTGCTCAGTATCCTGAAGAGCTTGTCACATACGGAGGCAATGGTCAAGTCTTTTCAAACTGGGCACAGGTAAGGCCATTAGCAGTATTCGGCCTACCGCTAATACAAATGAAGCTATATGTCCTAAGGCGGAAATTGTCAGTACATTGCACAGTTTCTTTCAACTCCTTTCAATTATGGCTATAGATACGTATTTTGCCAATGTCCGCAGTATCTTCTATGCTGAATCTATCGGTGTATCATACACTGCAGTAAAACATTGGGCCGATAAGCAAGTCAAATATTCTTACATTATGTGCACTATACCACAGCTAGTATATAGGTACAAGATAAGTGCGTTTTGTCCTTTTTGCCAGACGTACGTTACATCGGCTGAACGGTTTTAGCTTGAATTCTAGAAAATTTGAGAGAAAACAATTAAGAATACATTGGAAATTACGCTAATAGTGCATAATAGCCTCGTGTTAAAACGAACTATTTTTTCCCCGGGTATTTTTCTTTCGACCTGCTTTGTAATTCCTAAAGTAGCGGCGGCCGAGCTAGTCCGCGTAGATAAGTGCAATATTACGAATGGTAACCGTAGTGCTTTGTCATCGTCGTGCAAAAAAGTTCTGATTGGCATTTAAAAATAAGTTAGAGAGTTACTGATTATGACCTGAAGCACTGAGGCGCACTAAACTACTAACGTAGCGGGTACATATGCATCATCGTACGGTACAGATAGACACGAAAATAAATTTGGAAATTACTGATAGGATGGTTATTTTGGTAAGTTGTGCAGTGGACCTTACGCTAACCGGCGAAATTGCTGCGCCTAGGCAGTAGAAAAACTTAAAAGAAACTGAGTGAGCCTGTCTTGACTATCTCTGCTAGTTATAGAGTAATACCTTAACTTTTACTGTGACTCCTTTTTTTAAATTTAAAGTAACTTCGGCAAAACGATCGTCTTTCAAGGATGGCAATAAGCAAAAGCTGTAAAACTGCTGTTGAAGCATAGGCCGGTATGCTAGAAGACTGACCGGTCCAAATAGATCCTACAGCCGCTTTAACGAACGGTTACAATTTATTACAGCTCTTCAAATTTTATCGATGCGAAGATGCGTACGGTTCTTCAAAGTCAATTACTTTACGAATACTTTTTACAAATACTAGGGAAGCTTTTCCGTAAAATGTGATTAAGAAAAAGCGTTTTTTGGTTTACTGTTTTGATACAATTTCATACTCCGCTAATTCTTATATATTTTTAGTACCACATAGCGGTTATGAACTATCAGTAGTAGGGGGCTTTCTTTCTTTTACGCGTCCTGAAGTTTTAGACTAATTTTATGGGAAGCCTTTTTTTTTTTTTGGGAAAATCACCACACTGATTCAACTAATATCAGTGAATTTTCGGAGAGCTTTATTGAGAGTGGGGCAGACTTGCTTAAGATCCCAATTTAATATGGTTATCAAAAAACGGACCCATCTGTCGTACTTAGCTAATATTTAATTTTTGTATATTTAATTATTTGCACGATTTTACTTTGCTCTCAAAATCTGTTTCTCTTCCTTTTCCGCAAAAGAAAAACCGCGCACAGCAAAACCTCCAATTAGTTATAAAAAGCATCTTATCAAGAAGTAAAAAAACACGTCCGCCGTATTATATAAAAATACTGGTTAACACACCAAAAAATAAACTGGTTTCATCCAAGTGATTCAGAGAGTTCAAAATAAATCGTAACATTCTATATGTTAGGATATGCTATGTATTTACAAGCTTCTGGTAAACTTTCCTTTAGAGATATGGACTTAGCGATTTGCGACCCATTATTAACAACACACCGAGTGTCCAGCTTTCCCTCTAAGTCTGCCCGTAAGCACTAACGCCACCACCTTGAAAACTCTTGCGGAGGACGACATTTTCAATACTGTCGTACGTGTTGTTCTAAAAGAAGCAACAGCAGCAGTATCGTGGAATAGGGCCAGACATAATCGGGAGGCCGTTTGTCGGTCTTGAGGCGGCACGATTGCTCACGGCCGATTCGCCGCTACGTACGTCACCGCGGTGCGGAACAACGCCAACTACTCGAGAGACCTGACGACAATAAGCCAGTGAAACTATCTTCCTTGTCTTATCCTTGTGCGCTCGCAACGTGATTGGCTCGAATGGTCGCTCCAGGCAGACCGCCAGGCACTTGTCCCGCTTGCCTTTTTTGCATCAAAAAAATGCTGTTTTGTCAAATATCTGCTACCGCTGCCCCCCAATTGGCCACTGACGCTGAGAATAAATGTAGGGCGCGACAGTCATGGCGTACATCTCAGTTGAGAAACGCGTAGAAGCTAATGCTATCCACCCTGAGATGTATACAAATTGAACAGGAACAAGTTGAAATCTACATTTTTGCCATTTGATTCGTTCAACATGTATTTGTTGTCGTTAGTTAGCATATTTAGTTGTCAAGGTTAGGTCTTCTGGGAGGCCTTAACAGCCGACGACAGAGTTGCCCTTCTTTAGTTCGAGGTAACATTTTTGCATAATCTTTTTGTAACTAGTTAAACAATTACGTCACGTAAATATAGCTACATAAAGACGAGCTGTTATCCGCCTTGAAATTATTTACTGATCATTTTGACGTCCTATCATGGCCATAAAAACTAACCGTCTTAGGAGTCGGTCATGCAATCAATGAAAGAAATGACTCTTGACCATTTCTAGCGTAACATGGCTAAGAAGTAATAGGGGTTCATAAAATTAGCTAATCAGGCTGATTTTTTCATGAATTAACCTTGTTGATACACATAAAGTAACAGATAAAGCTATAGAACCTATTATGCTGTTATTATTATTTATAACATATTATAGAATCTGTTACGTTAGCTAGCACAGTTTAGACACCTCGCCGATACAGAACGAGGGGCACATACCCTGCACACTCCTTGCTGTGGGATGACTTTTGTAAAAAACACAAGTAATTATATTATTACCGCTATTACATCGCTTTATGGTCACAATATTGCTGTTACTTCATCATAACTGAAGTAATACAATATACGGTTTGAAGTACTTCGTAGCAAAATGGGATACTTTAGTTGTTGATGGCCTTCGTTTTGCTCGGAGCAGAGTTCCATGCTTAAATATAACTAATCTATGCCCGTAAAGCCATAAATGTTTGACATTTTGACGATATCAACAGTGGGAAGACAACGGTCGATTGCTACAGTAGCTATAAAAAGAGAACATACAACTCGTCGTTGTTGATTTAAATTTCAGCGCTAGAAACAAAAAACTATGAGTAATAAAGACTCTCCGGTAGTACAGTTACTAATGCCGCAAGGCAAAAATCATTCCGAGAGCCTGTTCGGGTAGAAAGGACAATAGAAAGAGAAACGAAGGTATCTTAACAAACAGTTTTCAACATCGTCTTCTAACCACCTAGCTTTGCTAGAAACATGTACAATTTACGGCAGGGTTTGTGATCTTCTCGTTTAGGTGTCCTTTCGTTGTGCCGATAGCACTTCACAGCGTTCTCAGTTCACTCAGATAAATTTATGCAGACACATAACAACTGTTGTTCTAAAGCTCGGTGAATCTGTTGAGATCATTCGTAGTAGTTAAATGGCAAACTAGTAAACGAAGGGAATAACTACACATGTATGTTCAAAAAATAATTGTAATTACTTGTGAATACTCGTACCCCAATGAGCAAATCACAGAGATATGTTAACTCTTGCGGATAACTTCGTACAATTAATGAAAATCGCATTTTCAATTCAGACAATTATTATTACCATTATTAAGCCTCTGTATTACTTCGTGTAGAGAATCAAGGGGCTTGCTAACGAAGTCTAGATTACCCCCCCAAGAAGCTCGCTGAATCAATTAATTTACTAGCTGAACTATTAAATTTATTTTGTGTTGACCCCGTAGACGGGCGCGTATAAAAACTGCGACCACTCATACGTCAAATTCAACATTTCTGCGCGACGCAATTTTCCTATTTTCGCATAATTTTTTTTTTTGAGGTTTTCAAACGTGTGGCCAGTATTAGTTGCTTCTACAGATCTCATCTTTGTGACTTCTCTGCCACAGTTTCGCCTGGTAATGCAGTACCTGTCGAAAATGTCGGATACTCAGACTCTGGTTATGTATTCCGGTCATCCGCTTGGCCTCTTCCCAGCTCGGATCGGTGTATCACCAAAAGTGGTCGTTACCAACGGAATGGTTATACCTGGATGGTCAACGCAAAGCGTACGTCTGTCTCGTGCCTTCGGTGGCTAAACAATTGTGAAAAATCTAGGATCAGTCCTTTTCTAAATATGTGTCCCGGTGATAATTCGTCACGTCTTAATTATAAGTAGCAGAAGATGTTTATTGTAGGTTTATTTTAATTTCCGATAGGATTACGACAAGATGTTCGCTATGGGTGTAACGATGTACGGCCAGATGACCGCGGGAAGTTATTGTTACATTGGACCACAAGGCATTGTTCACGGGACCACGGTACGGATAAGCCTTCCATAGACAACAGGGTTACACTTTGTGAATTAAAAACCTGTTAATTCCAAAACACTTTCTGAGAAAGCATGCGCTCCCGCCTTTTTGCGTCAATAAAGTGCTTTTAAATCATTAGCGTGAACTAACATACTGGCAGATGTGTTGGATTGTCTTCAAAGTTCTTAAATTATCGATGTTTCAGTGTAGAATATGGTTTTGGCCATAGCATATCCATTAAAGCACACCGTAATGACGCTGCCCGTTACGAAGATCTTATGCACTCAACCATGTAACTCAGCCTGTTGCTGCGATTTTTCGTTTCAAACATACCCCGGCTGTGACCATTATCTACTTTGCTAACCTTCTATAAAAATTGTGATATTTTAGTTAAAAAAAAAAAATAGACCTTTTTGTTTGATGTCTGTAACCCGATTTCGTTCGGGCTCTTCACTAGAAGCTACTAGTCGTTCAATAGTTACAGCGCATCGCTCTACATAGCATAAAAGCCTATAGTCGGGTCCTTACATAACTATATGGCCACTGCTAGCCAGGCGCGTTATTCGAATAACACTCAAAAAGGACGCCCGTCCATGCATACCTTCAAAATATAATAATAACAATAGCTACTATTACTCGTAGTATGCACCAATGCCATTTTAAAAACGTTGGCATCGACACCTATTTGGCGACGGCACCGCTGATACATGATAAAACTGTATCATCGCATAAAATTGGTCCTATCTGATCCTATTCCTATCTCATTCGAACAGCTCTAAGATAGCTTTTATGTAAAAATAACGGTGGCAATTGACAAGTATATAGCCCCCTTAATCTTCTAATCGATTATCGACGATCCTCAACCAACTAGGAGGATCGCCGCTTCAGGCTCAGTTACTATCTAATAGTTAAGACATTATTCAACAAAAGTAATGGAGAACGAAAACGAATCCTTATAAAATAGACTTACACAACCTTCTGTTCCTTACCAGTGTAGGCCGTACCTGTGTTACTTAAAAGCGAGCCCTTCTCCAGTTGCAAGTCATTAACTGGGATTATAAATAACTAAAAACTAGAATTATAGAAATATCGATATAGTTAATTGAAATAAGCATCTCATACAGCTCATGAATACTCGGTACGCATTTGATTTAGTTTTTAGCATCATCGATCAATGATTTTTAATGAAAAAAAAAACAATTGTAACTTTACTGCGATCACAAATCTGATACACACCTGCAATGTCCCTGTCTCCCGAGTAGGCTTGTGAGTCAAAGAGATCAGTTCTAGAAGGGATAGTAATGTTTTTAGCTCGCTTGAGGCATTTTACGTTAAATATATTCGCAGAAATGCAATCCTTTTTGATACCCGTCTCTAGTAAGTTTAATGCATACACGATGCAAACAATCTTCACATGCCAACATTTGAATGTTCACGCATCGTCTTTAGTTGCGCATCGTTAGGTGTATGGATTTCAATGTTTTACATTAAAACTTCTGCTAGACATGAGATAATAAGGATTAGTTCAGTAATAATTTATTGCATCATTCTGATATTGCTGTTCTGTGATTGGTCATTGAAGATTACGATTATGAACGCAGGACGTAAGTATCTTCACCTCGAATCCTTGAAAGGCAAAGTATTGCTTACGTCCGGTCTCGGTGGGATGTCAGGCGCCCAGGCGAAAGCTGCGGTGATTGCCGGAGCTGTTGGTGTTATTGTTGAAGTAAATAAGGATGCTTTACTCAAAAGGTAACAGATCACACACAAGAGTAGTATACAACGTAATCATTTGTGTTGAAGTAGCAAGTTATTCCCCTATATGTATACAATATATTCTCTTCATCCTATGAAGCGGTGGCGCAATAAGTATAGAACGTAGCCAATTAACTGTAATCTCAGAGGCAAATGGTGAAGTTATTATTAGCAGCAGTAGTAGTAGATTTAATGTAAAGTGATTCAAACTAAACTAAAAAAAAATAAGACACGCTGAAGCACAAGTGGAAACTATTAAAGATGCTCCGACAAAGCTAAACATCAACTTGGTTATGCTTCTGAAGGTATCGTCAAGGTTGGCTTCATGAGATCTGCTCGGACTTAGCCGACCTAAAACAGCGAATTCAGCGAGCCAAAAAAGACGAACAAGCGACTTCTATTGGTTTTCAAGGCAACGTCGTGGATGTCTGGTACGTTGGCTACAATGTTTACACGACTTCAAAAATAGAGGTTTTTTTTGGGGACTTTACGTATTCAAACGTTACTTATACAATTTACACCAATTTTTACGATATTTTTTTAGGATAGCCTAATTTCCCAAATACTAAAGCTAAACCATAAAAAGGTCTTTATTCTTCTTGATTGCATTTAGAAATTCGCCTTAGTACACCAAAAGCGGGAACAAAAGACGCCTATTGATCCATTATACTGTTAAGACGTTTCCGTCTGGGAGGGCCTTACAAGGTTAAAGAGCGAATCGCATCATTAAGCAAATTGCCCGTCCTGTTAAGTAATATTTAGCAATTATCGTCTAGTTCGTAAATGCATACACTTCCGCTTCACGTCTCGCACGGTACCCCATCTATCGTGGCAAATTCTTTTAGTGGCGCGTAATGCTAACAGGTCAGATGGACAATCTGGGTCCTTTAGACCCCTTTCATTCTGATAGGCAACACCTACTATAGGCTCCTGTCCGGGGTCCCTCACCTACCGGAAGCAAAAAACCGTACCACTATAATATACTCAATCAGCGATAAATATTGGCACATAAACCCAGCGATGGGTCTATAACAGCGATTCATATGGAATGATTCTACTCCTTGAAGCAGACCAAATGAGCGTCTACGCGTTTATGCATGTGTATTTTGAGATAACAACACAATGCAAATATAGTTTTAATGGTAGGCAAGAGGAGCGTTAAAACTATATAACGACGCGACTATCATTTTTTATAGGGAATTCTTCGCGAAAGATGCAGAGGAGAGTGGTGAGCTTCTTGTGGAACTCGGATCAGATCAGACATCTTGCCACAACCCGTTCGGCGGCGGCTATTACCCCGTGCAACTGTCATTTGAAGAGGCCAACGAGGTCATGATTCAGGATCCCCCGAGATTTAAGCAGCTTGTACAAGAAAGGTATGCTAGGCACAACAGGTCTGAAGCGGTATTCTGTGAAAACGTCATGTTGTACCTCTAAATTTACCTATTTAATTTATGCAAAGTCGTTAACATTGCTCATATTAAATTCGTTAGTCTGAGACGTCAAGTTGCAGCTATCGACTCGCTGGCGGCGCGAGGCTTATGCTTCTGGGATTACGGGAACGCGTTTCTCCTTGAAGCGTCGCGTGCTGGTGCGGATGTTGGCCAAAACGGAATCCGTTTTAAGTATCCGTCATACGTCCAAGATATTATGGGGTAGGTTATGAATATGTTGGACTCTGCTTTAGTCATCTTAGAGATCGCACAAATAAGCCAACCTAAGATCTCCGTAAAAATGGTATGGCTTCTTGTAAGGAATATAACAGTTAGTTATAAATAGTTTCTACGCTCTAATATTAAAATATTGTGCTTGTCATTTACTTCTACACACCTTGAGTCGAAATCAAATTTAATTACGCTACTTAAATTAGATGAATGTGAATACCTTAATACTTTTTTGAAAAAATCTTGGTAGAACAATATACTGTTCTTATAAGCAATTCTTTAATGAAAAACAACATTTTTGGTCTTAACAATGCGTAATGTTCATTTGAAAGCGACATATTCTCCATGGGATTCGGACCTTTTCGATGGGTGTGTACGTCAGGACGTCCTGAAGATCTCGACCTTACCGATAAGATTGCCTGTCAGGTTCTCAGAGAGCTGCTTAACTCGGATGGTGAGATTTAACGAGCAAAAAAATCCCAATCAAGTGACTTAACAATACAAAATTCAACTTAATTACAATTGCATCGAGAGAATTCGATTTAATGACAGCTTAGTCTTCGAAGCTGATTAGTGTAACATTGAACCCTCTTTCAGATTGCTAAATATAGCCAACATAGGGTAAAGTAAGGTAGAAGGTCATAATAGCAAATCTGTTACAATGTTGAGATTTATTTTTCCAATGTAAACGATAAAAATTTTCAGTTAGCGACAGTGTGAAGTGTCAGTATTCCGATAACATTCGATGGATTGAAAAAGCCTCGCTGAACAGCCTTGTTGTTGGCTCTCAAGCCCGTATACTGTATTCTGATCGTCGTGGAAGGATGAAAGTAAGCTCACTTTTTTAATATACCTCACCCCACTTAAGAGAGCAACCTCCGTAGTTTGATGTTGTGCCCGCTCATATTAACAATTCATTCGCCTTACTCAGTGTAATCTTCAATTTGTGCTTGTGTCGCAGTAGAAAATGTAACCTGTTTGACGAATCCTTCCATGTGTCCTGCAGATTGCTCAAGCTTTCAATGACGCTGTGCGAACACAGCGTCTAAAAGGTCCAATTGTGCTAAGTCGAGACCATCATGATGTATCAGGCGCTGACAGTCCGTTCCGAGAGACGTCGAACATCTACGATGGTTCCGCCTTTACTGCTGGTAAAGATAAAGTCTTCTTTCACGGTTGGCGGTGAGCCTATGGGTGCATATCTATGCAAAAGGCTGGGCCTATAATTTGTTCTATAAGCTGTCATATATATATTAAAAAAAAACAACAAGCTTTTAGAGGAATTCATTTACGCGCGGATGTTTTCAGATATGGCTGTCCAAAATTTTGTGGGTGTTACCCTGCGAGGTGCTACCTGGGTGGCTTTACATAATGGTGGGGGAGTTGGCTGGGGACAGGTAAGAATATTCTAAACGATAATACGAGCACAAAGTTATTTATATAGCCTGTATATAGTAGTAAATGTCGTTGGAAGGACTTATTATATATTCATTGAACTTACCTAAACACCGTCGGATTATTTTGATAAAATAATAGTACACAAATATATTCCATAATAAATTTATTTTAATAGATATTATAGTTGCTGATATTCGTTTATTTCATACAGGTGATTAATGGCGGATTCGGGATGCTTTTGGATGGCTCGAAGGAAGCGCACCAGAAGGCCGCAGAACTACTTTCCTGGGACGTGAACAATGGAATCGCCCGTAGAGCGTGGTCTGGTTAGTGCTTCACTCGATTTTTCCCCTTTGCTTGATAGTATGTGACCGTGCAATGAAATTCATGATTTTTCCTTTAAAAACACTTGTTTCTTTTCCCTTGTTGTTTACTACCGATATTTTATTCGCATACTGTAATGGTATTATTAAGTGTTGACCGATATGGATGGAAGCGCAATTTTAACTCGGACAAAGGTGTTTCAGGTGAAACAGAAGTAGATTTTCGACATTTCTACAGAAACAGATCGAGGCCGCTATCCTATGCGCGGTAACGATGCTGTCACTGAAAGAACTGGTCAAAAGTAATTTGCTAAGTTTGGAAACAATTTTCAACACAACAAAGGGGAATCTTACCTTCTGGCCGACCGTCAGAATCTTATGTCAAGCGATTGAGACTTTTCTTAAAAGAAGATGGCCGACAAACAACTCAAGAATCGATTGAACAAATGGGCTACAGCCACATAATTGTTCTTGGTTTACACAGAAACTTTTAGGCTTTTAGGTTTTTTTTTTAAGTTTAGGTAGCCCATAATCCCTCTTAATGCAATAAGGAATATGGCTTAACGCTGCATGTCACTCAGTAGCGAGCATCACGCAACCACAATGACCCATTTTTACATAGAACTATCCCTGGCGATGAGGAGTGGAATTTGTACATTAACGTGAACCAGAGATCGAAGTGGGTGGGTCTAAAGGGGAAACCAAGGTTAAGAGTGTAACCATAACTTGGCTTAAAAAATATTATGCTTCGCGCCCAGTGGGATTGCCTGTTTATCCAGGAACGGCTTCTCGACAGGAAACCGATAGTTGATCGGAATGTTTAATTGGTCTAACTGGATCTATTTAAGCAGGCTATTGAAAATAAAAGACCCAATAAAAGAGGCCAAGTTATCTTGTTCTATTACAACACAAGGCTGTACACAGCTCCCTATATTCTTTAGATTTTACACTTTATAGATATACATTTCTATTCATTGAGCAATCACCTTTGTGGACTTATCTTTAGCACGGGTCAATAATTCAAAATGTGGTTAGAAAATTTCTGCGAGACAAAACCCACTACCTTCTAGCAAAATGATGTACACCGTTTGATAAAAAAAAAACTGGAAAAACGTAGCGAACAATGACGGGGGATACATAACATAATAATTTATTCCCATAGGAATAAAAATGTGGTGCTCCCTATCGCAGGAGCTTTATTTTCAATCTAATGATATACAGAATTGTCGTAACTTAATTAACACTTTGTTAGTGAAAGTAGTCTGACGCCATCGGGCCTAACAGCGGTTCTGCACACAAAATGAAAAACGTTCGCTTGCAGGATTTTTTGCTTCGTAGCCGATCCCCTCACAGGTTCCCGTGCTGGAGTCTCTTAGAAACACTATCAATGATCTAAAATCATTTGTTAGGACCAAATGATCCAATTAAGACCATTAATGTGTACGCAGGAAATAATTATGCACTGGACACCATTCGTGATGCGATGGAAGAGGATCCGTTGTTGGAGGTGACGATTCCACATGCGGCCAGTGAAAATGATCTGTGTGGAGCTATTGATCGTTTCTTTCCGACGAAAAGTCCTTGAACGAAGGGAGCCACAAACGCGGGCAACGTGTCGATGCTTAAAACCAACACGCCGAATAATATCTAGGCCTTAGGCCTGGAAAAGCTCTATGGGAGCGTGGTCTTGCGTGCTCCTGCGCCAAATTGCACTATTTTTAACGGGATATATCCGGCACGAAAGGCAGTTAAAGGCTTATCTGTAGAATGAAAAGTAGCAATCTCCGACTCTTAGACCACGTCTTCTTCACGTCCGGGTGTGTAGTTATGTTCAATGTTGCCACCTTTATGGCTGTTTAAGCCAGGATTTGAGGATATAGTTTAACGTAACTAGAATTAATAAGCATTTATGTGGTCTGTACACCTAACTAACGTCTCACTCTATATTGATTAAACTGCTTTATACTGTGGAGAGACTGATGAGGTTGGCAAGGTACTCGCTGATAGCGCTATTTACGGTATGACTGTATCTATGCAAGCATCAGACAAAATGAATACGGATATGATTATAAAAACCAAAGAAGTTCTAAAGACAATTTAACTACTCTTGCAAAAACAGCAATAAAAAACCAAATTATAATTAGCTGAAAATTAAATATAAAATGTCGTCTGGGGAAATTTCTATAGCCCGTTGACATAATGCTTAGGTACTAACATTAGACATCTATTACAGATAGAGATTCTTCAATCGTCTTATGAATCCAAATGGTAACAATAGACAAAAAGAAAAAAATCTGATTGGACCAAATTCAAACTTGCCAAAATGTGGGGTTTAAAGTGGGTGTTAAAAGTAAAAAGTGTTAAGGTGTTAAAAGTAGGTTTGAATGCATCTGTTTTATCTGTGCGTTTGTTTTATCTGTGTGAAAGGACACATAATAACAACTGTATCATCATCGCCATCGATATCGTCTTCATGTAATTTACTGTGTTTGCTTTTTCGAAATCTATTCATAATATGATATATATATATATATATATATAAAATAAACGGCAACAAAGAAAAATAAAAACATCGCTTCTTTATTTCGCTCCATTAAAACAAGTTGATGACCGTTAAAAATCGGATAAAATCAGATTAGACAATCTTGTTTATCACTAAATCGCTTTATTGTGTCTGTAAATAAACGATTGATCGGTATGGTCTGAGCTAAAATGAAAGTGTTCGTGTCGATTTAATAACCAAATAAGGACGATAGTTCATGTAATAAACATATTACCAATAACTATTGTTAAGTGAGAAGCATTTTACTTGAGAGTTATCAGATGCTTAATATTTATCTACTGTATAATGTTAGGCTACGTATTGATTCCTATTTCATTCTTGTCACATACAAGACATGTGACAGAAAGCCTGGCCCTTTTCGTACAAGATGCGACTACCCCTGACTGTGAAGATCGTTCAAACGTATTGAAAAACACGAAAATTTACATAGGAGCCTGTTGTTATCGCTGTCGTCGCATGTATCAAGGCCTCACACGGGATGCACATGACACCGGACAACAAACTTCGTGACGCGGAGCGATTTCACAACCCATATGTGTAAAGGTTATGATCGCTCTGTTCTGTTAGGTTTATCGCACCAGGTCCCCGTAATATCGAAGGAGCTAAAAATACAAGCTTCTAAATCATTTCAATGGTATCCAATCGACAGTATGAGACAATATAAAATCCAAATAAGCTCATATATAGTCCCGTCTAACATAGCTAGCTGTATCAAATTACGTGAAAACTTGGGAAAAATATCTTTCGTATATACTACGTATACTGGCAAAATCACTATACTTTAGGAACTTTGTAAAAGCTAGATCTATCAACAGGTTCAACTGAGGGGTACGCAAGACAGGGTGTCATACAATTGTCGACTTAAGGCAGCAATCGTGAGTTACTCGGATCTATCTTTGTACTTCACAGATTGTCTACCAAGGAAGAGTCCTATCAGCGAGCCGTAGACAATGAAGTTGCCAAAAATAGTCTTTCCGTTTTGCTTCAAAGCGGTTCACTTCATCATTGTTTCGCCGGATACATTCTAACGTAACGAGATGGTCCATCGAATACTGGCCGGCCAGGAAACGAATAGTTCTTTTGGTCAAAGATGTCTTTGAGCTGCACGACTACGAAATGCGTCCGACAGTCCGGTGGCGAATTAAACAAAGTTCTTTGTATTTGGCTTAAGGTTGGCAAACTGAAAGACGCTTAGTACGACGTTTCAAAATGCGCAACTAGACCCAGTCCATCGAATGCAATAGGATCGTTGCAGAATCGGCAATATCTCTAGGACCAAGGAGACGACTCCTGCATCGGTGTGTCACAAATACGAAGTATCCTGGCTCAGTTTTCTGAACAATCCCCATACGATTTATCCGTATAGTTCTACCAGATTGTTCAGATGTAATCAAGATGGTGTCAATCGAATTGCCGAGTGAGTCCTAGCTTGGCATTTGATATTTTTATAATTGTTGTTAAGTCTCGCTATTCGTGGCAGACCCGGTTCGTACAGCCATTCATCCCAATTGACCTCGGCAATTTTCTCTTCGAAAAGCCGCGTAAAAAATTCACGAATTTTCTCTGAATTAATCGCGGTTTCCTTGTATATTAAGTGCAGGCACCTTAATGCACAGAGAAGCTTTTCAACCCCTACCAATTGCTCAAGGTAGACTAGAAACAGATAACCCTTTTCGTAAGGTATCACCGAATGAAGCTGGCTTGCTTCGACGTCAGGATTAACCAGCTTTAGCCGAGGGTTTTTAGCTCCGAGAATTCGTACTTCAAACTCGAGCCGGCTAATCGCGTCGCGGTGGACAATTGTCCAAAATTCTTCACCGCGAAGTTCGAGCAGGATTCGCCTCTCAATATACGAACAGATACCCTCCGTAATCCAGAGATGATGGAAGGTTTCGATGCCAAGTGAGTTGCCAAACCAACTATGAGCCACTTCATGGGCAAGCACTACGGCTAGCTCGGCAGACCCGACGAGGCTAGCGTTTATAAACGTTAATCCTGGTATTTCGAGAGCTTTGAATGGGAAATCGTTAAGTATCAGTACATCAAATTTACTAAAGATGCACGGACCAAGCAAGTCAAAGGCAATCGGCAGAATCCGCTTGACGGTGGCCGCGACGAAGCGAGCGTCACCAGGCGCGTCCTCTGTGTAAGCACCGACGCAGCTTGACACTGGCACGTAGCTGAAGTCGCCGACGGCAAAGGCAATTAAGAAGAATGGAATAGGGACAGGCTGCTCGAAGTGGAACATGTTGCGACCATCTGGCGCACGGCCAGATTCTCGAAGAGAAGCTCCCATCACAGCTACGGTGCCACGCGGGGTCAGAAGGGTCGCACAGAAGGGAACCTGCATAAGAAAATGGACAAGCTGGTAACCTGCTCTTTATTGAACGCTAGCCTCAGATCAAGAAGCGATTAAATAGACCGTACTGATTTTTTTTTTTTTTTTACCTATCTGACATGTGAAAGAAAATGTTCTCAAAATGTATTGAAATTATTGGCTGAAAAAAGCTGTTGTTGTTTAAACAGAAGTGCCTGAAACTGAGAAGCCCATTAATGATGAATACTCATTTTAAAATTGAATATCGTATTTGGTGAGGTTCTTACCTTTACCTGGGGAACGTCCTGACACGGGAGGATCGATCGAGCGGCGACCGGAAAGGAAAGTGTGAATACACTTCGTTCATCACGGTGGTTCCAACGAAGGGCTGACGAGTTTCCGGTTCTGACGTGTAGGAATAAAAATACATATCATACGTTACAGCGAATCTGAGCCCAACGAGCAATGAGGATGTGTAATAGAAGATGTAAAAAACCTCACTACAGTTTTCCTAGGATAATCAAAAGCAGGTAATTTAACGAATAGATTTTAAGATAAATTTATTATTTATAGTATTATAAACCAAGTACTAAAATAAATGTATCTTAGTACTGAGTACTACTACTAAGGAAGCTGGTGTTTCTTTCTATATGTCGCCCTCCTCTGCACCAAACACAAAAGAAATTGTTTTTAGAGCGTACCCTGGACAGCTGTATCTTTCTCACAATATCCAATATTGATGATAAATGTAAATAGATTTAAGCTAAAAATGCATGTACCCACCTGTAGGCGATATCGACTTCGAAGGTAGTCTCTTCTTTTGGTATCTGTATTCGTAGCGCTTCGCCGTAAATCTTATGACGTGGACTTTTATAAAAATAGGTTCTTCTACAACGATTCAACCGAACCTTCTCCACATGAAGATCCGCACTGTATCCAATAGTTTCACCCATAATTAGTAACTCATTATTATAATCTGGATTAGGAAACGGGCACTCATTCAGTATGTAAGAGAAATCGAAAGTTAGTGATATCGCAACATTTATGTAGAAACGTTTATGAGTATAACAACAGTAATAATAATGGAATTAATAAAACATTGAAGTTACTAATGTAGTTGGTATTTACAAATGGAACCATCTGAATTAAGAAGCCTATGGGGGCGCACCTGTCGAGCACAAGTTCGTGAGCGGATTGCATTAGTCTGCGAATTTTATAACGAACCTCGCATTTTAGGCGACGAGATTTAGGGTCCACCTAAAAATTGAGTGACGAGACAGTTAGATCAACGAATTGTCTCGTTACGAGCTAACGTCATAACCACAACCCCACTATAAACCATGACCAAATGAGCCTATTCTATCAAATAGGGTCGGGGTAGGTAAGGATAACACGCATCTTATTTATATACTGGCCTTGAGGTGCCATAGGGTGCGACAGCGAGACACTAGCAATAATAACAAAGGCGATTATCTAAAATAATGACTCTTGTTTGCAGCCTAAAATGTTAGTTAGACACTAGGACTTTTTAATTGGCGATGCAAGCGCTATTATTTTATTAAAGTGTTTTTATGTTTTATGAAATGCGTTCAAACCTGAGATAAGATGCAAACAAAAAAAATACCTCAAAAGAAAAAAAAATAGAAACGAGTCAATTCTATGTAATCTTAGTGTTCGTCGTGCCTTCGATGTAGGCAAGTGATTCAGTGCTTAGGACAAATAGGCGTGATTAGCGTGAATATTTATAGATGAGATAAAAACAGAAGAGGTCTATTTTTGTCTTTACGTTCGAGCTAGTTTGGAAAGCTATTCCTAACTTTCTTTACTTTATAACGCAACACATAGACAACTACTTGTTACAATCATCTAGATACTTTGATTACTGCCAAATGTTGTTTCTCGTTGATAAAGATCCTCATTGAAGTTACCTAGAATGTAACTTTTTGCTTGAGCGTTTGGGTTCAACCGAATCATCTTCGGAAAAGACATAACGCTAAGGCGAATTGTAGATCCAACTAGGTTTCTACTTATCGCTTAGTAATCCGGTTTAGTAACATGAATATTGAGCTACCACTGTCTATTACACTAAGATAAATATATGTGTACATACCTACGTTATGAATATTGAAAATCGCTGCGTTTTTAGAGTGGATTTTTTCGCTTGTCACTTTCTCTCAGTCTCTACGAAGGCTGCAGAAGACGAGGCGCAATGTTTTTGTCTGTGTAGTATTATATGAATAGATACCTTAATGATATTTTTACTCAAGCATCTCAGATCATCTCAGACAGAGAACTGATTAATTAGATATGTAAATGCTTAACTTTACGCTGTGAGCAATGACGATCGGAGGCGTATTCTGTCGACTCTCCATAATGGCGTATGGTATAATAACCGACCTAACTATTTGGTGGGAATATCTGACGTTTGTATCTCAATAGACATGAACGATATGTACTATTTCAATTTTAGGTATGTTGCCGATTAAATGCTGTTGTGTTGTCCATATAGAACGATTATTACACATGTGAATTGTTGTTGAATTAGGTCTAATCTTTTTTTCTCATTACATAGATATGCGTTTGCTAACTATGGTACGTACCTCGACTGTCCAATGCAGATGAAGAATCTGGAACTTATCGGGTGCCGCAAACGAGAACGACGCATTAGGTGTTTGCTTGACCGCATTTCGCAAGAGTTTATAGGTCGAAAGCAGTGCCACAACGTGGTCAATCTTAGCACCTCCCCGCCCACCCCCTGGAACAACCTGTTCAGGCAGTTTGTGGCCGTAAAAACAAGCAGCAACCCCCCGCTGCTGCTTAGTCTGACTACCTTCAACTAAGATGCTTTGATCGACACTCGATCTGTATAAAGTTTAAATCAATTGACTCATTCATTCGTTCCAGCATAATTGTAAGTTCGGAGTTGTAGAAGCTCTGTTTGACCGGGCAGCATCTGTTAGCAATAGATAAACGATGTCAGCATAATAACTTGCTGTGAAAATTGAAAGAATCCATTTCCACAATATCTACTGCTCAACTTTCGGCAACAACAACCAATTCCGCTTCGCTATAGTTGAAACAACTCATCGAACCGTAACAGCTTATGCTCCTCTTAAGGGACGCGTAAGATCGCTCCTGGTCTCGATGTATGTGTTCTTTTGTTCTTTCTTATATCGTCAGCGTATACATGTCACGAACTAATTTCTAGCTTTTTTAAGACAAAAAAAGACGAATTAGAACACCTGTACGAACCTTAGCTAGGTGAGTTCCGACTTCTTTGGGGTCCGCTTAACGCGCAGTGTGATTGTTAAGGGTCTCAGACGCGCCTATATCATCACAATAATAACGCGATAAGATTTGCCCGCAGTCTCTTACCAATATAAGTTACATTAGTCTCCGTTACGTTTCTTGAATCAGTCGTATTGACCAGCACAATAGCTACGTATGAAGCACAACATCGAAAGAAACGTCACGTCCTTGTTGCCGGCAGAGTATTGTATGCAAAACTAGTTCAACAGCATTTCGTTCGGTGACCAGCGTTTGTTGATATCGCGTTGCGGCAGCTCTTCTCCGAAAGCCATCATTCGATCGGTGAGTTGTCCAATCTCGAACTGTTTAATGTTGTTATTGCTGTTGATGACTGCTGTGTTTGATGCGACTGACGCTTGGTTCCATCTTGTTTCTCATCATCTTTATCTAGCAAACTGTATTTTTCATGCAGCCGCTTCACAACTGAGTGGTCATTGTGGCAGCAAGTGCGTGCGCCTCAAAATCGCTACTGCAACGCCAGCTGCTGTAGGCAACAATCTTGGTACGGCAGCAGCGATCGCCTTGTTAATGCTATTACCACGGCACTCGCGGCCGCTCCGTCCGCCGTTGTTGCTTTTATTGTCGCTGCAGTCTCGAAGTAGGCATCAGAGGCGCCGTCGACGTAGAAGAGACACTAACTGCGTCAGTCAGAAAGGGCCCGAGTCCGCACCGTCAAACTGGAGAGTGGTAACGATCTTTGCGCAATGTTTTCTCTTCTGCCATTCTACTACCTCCTTAGCAGTCACCGTAGCAGCGGCAGCAACGAGCCTTAACTTAGGTCTTGCGGCGTTCTTCCTGTCATGCTGGCTGCTAAATTCTCCTCTGTGCGGTGAGCCTGGCCGCTTTGTGAAATGAATAGGCCACCTCGCGAATCTGCGCCGTTGCATCTATTTGCCTTTTCTTCTTCGGCTTCCTTTGTCTTCATCTGCTTCATCCCTACACTTCTCTGTCCTGTACGAGTGGGGAGGACGCGTACGAGAAGTTTGCTAGGCTACGAGGGGACAGCTCGGGTTGTGCCCCTGTAGCAGCGGCACAAATGGCGGCGACGACGACGGCGGTGGCAGGTGAAGGCTTTAGTCAAATGCGTAGAAATCGCTTGCTTGACCGTGATGCGCTATGCCTGGACCTTATAGCCCAGTTTACCAGGATGCGTGCAATGCAAAAGCCCAATAGTAACGAGGTTAGTTATTAAGTGTGGGAAATGTGGGCAGCCGCTGCGATTCTAGCTGGGAGTAAAAGGCATTGGGCGAATATTTCTGGAAAAAGGGTTAACCAGAAGACAAAGGTTCTTTTGACAATGAGAACGCCAACGAATTACATGCTAGCTAGATGAGGCGCCATTGCTTCTGCCAGATAGTTAAAGATAGGTACTACGCTTATATATAACTCAGACATATATAACCCAAATTTTGAATGATCTACATAGGTGAGTATTTTACTAGAATTTATACGATACATTAGAAGATACGTGTAATATTTTCTCGAATTATAAGCAAGAAATTATATACAAGTGATCGTTATAGGTATCGTACAAAGAGTATGTATGTATCGAGTCTACGTCGCAGTGAAATCAACTAGCAAGGTCTGATCCAAACGCAACTCGTAAATAGTGTTGGATACGTAGTTGTTAGCGTCTTTGAATGGTAAAATCAACGGATTTACTTTTGAAATAAAACTTCATGTCCCTATATGCACGCTCAAATCGAGTGGCTGGTTTTCCGTTAAGTCAGGAAAGGCAGCCTCGGAAAAGGTTTAGTACAACTAAACAGGTTGCACAACATTGAAGAAAAAAAGCATTGTCTACGTTGACGCACGCATTGCCATTTTTTCTAACGAAAACCTCAGGATAATTCATCGTATCCCAGTTAAGAACCTCTGCAATATCAATCCACGCGCTAGTGGCTCTTTCTCTTGTCTTGTATAAAGTCATCCCAAGTAAATGCTCCTGTTACCCCTATTGCGAAGTTTGACAAAGAAGTATATGATATGGATGTATGTGGGGGACCTACTACGTTGCCTAACACCTGTTTCTGGTGAAATTGTTTATTAGTGTTCACTGGAAAGCGATAGGTCACATTCGCACGACCGCTTTTCGGTTAGTGCAAGGAATACCACGCGGCACGTAGGTGCCTTCATACCATATGTGGATGCCTACATTTTTGCAATGGATAGAGAAACAATATGTTGAACTAGGTGTCATAAAGGTTTAACAAAACGGTTTGATTTATTTATTTAGCGAAAACATTTAGGTAAAAACGCTAATAATCAGTTGTTTTAAGTAGTGTAAAGTCTACCTATTGAAGAGCTTGTCTTCGTTAATAAAAATGGGATTCGGTGATAACATTACTTGTTGCGCGCGACATAAAGAAGATGGCGCCAAGGTATCACTAAAAATTTCATGATTGCTACGAACTCGGTCTTGGTGCCGTACCTCACATTTGAGTCGTCATTGTCCTGTTGCTGAAAATGAGTCGATGAAGCCTATATTCGCATTAACTAAAGCAGGTATCAATCACTAAATCGTATTCGATTGTCACGAAACGTTCCCACTATCTAGTTGCTAACTATAGTTAGGAACATGTGAGATGATTTAAGATTAAAAAATGGGCGTAGACGCGCTCCGCCTCGTTTTGGCAATAAATAATCTGAAGCGATGCTTAACGAAAACGGCGGCCAACATCCAGCTCAAAGTATTTCTACTCACGTGATACGTGATAAAGGCTTGATTGCACTCTGCTGTACATCCCTTTGCCCCAGGTGCGTAAATAGTACTCGAAATGACACCGAACTGACAGCTGTAGGTAGCTATAATATAAAATGTTTGTAATTTCAGGACGTTCAAGCTGGTCTTTGCAGCGGGATCTGTCTGCAGTTAACCCTTAAGCAAATGCATTTAACGCTATCGTATAATGTGTTAAATGTTAGAGTTATAATAGGGCTGGCCGATGTAGTCCTACCTAACTAAGACAGGCTTTCAACGCCACTTCAAAAAGTATACATTTTCGGTTATTATATGCTATTCGTACTTTAAACAGTATCTTCCGACACTTCACCCAATAGATGCTGTCTATCGTCTAGATTGTGCTTTCCCATACACTCGATGTTGATGCTAAGAACGTTGAGCGAATCCCTTTTTTTCATTGTATGGTAGCGTTTCCATTTATGAAAATGACATATAGCTTCACCTTAGACCCTAGCTTTTGCATTCACAGGCTTACTGTGCACGCACGTCGTCTGCCTATCATGCAAACCGCAAAGTATAATAAGTGCAAATACCTTTTGTTATTGTTTTTAAAGACATTGTTTGCTAACTCTGCCGTCATGTGCTTCGGCACCTACAGGATGTCCGTTCACGAACGAGAGTCAAGAGTTGCCGTTGCCCTGAACCGATAGTGGCGACGATCAGACGCCAAACGTATTCTGCTGTTCGCTATTGCAGATAGCAGCGGGAAAGTGAAGAAGGTACTTGAGTGTAAGGCCTGGAGAGAAGGGAAGATATAGGTCGGTCATTGCCGCTGACGCGAGCCAAAACAACGGAACGGCTGTTTTGTAGAAGGCATTCGGTAAAATGGGTTTTGTGCTTAGAGATCTCAGTTAGTTCAACTAACAGACAACAGATCTCATGTCTCGGAAGGCAAAACATAGTACTTGACTGATGCGTCTGTTTGTTGCCGGGTGATGAAGGCGCTGATCACATTCGCTACGACCAAGTTCTATTCGTCGCGGCAGTAAGAGTCACTGTAGAAAAAATAGCATTCATTGCTATAACACGTTACTGGCATACCTCCGTTGAAGCACTCACATAATAAATAGTAACGTTCGGACTCGTATGTAACTTATAGAGTTGTTGTTATAAGCTACATGTTAAGAAAGTATTGAAATAATATTGATATGTCAAAATACGCGTACGATTCTACTACAGGCATTTCGCGCAGGTGAACACCATTAGAAAACGTAGTTTTCATGTAGAGAAGGTTTTGACTAGGAAGGGAAAGGCTGGAAACAAACGCGTAGCGACAAAAGGTCATCCTAACCAGAAATTGCCACATAACAAATGTAAGTAGTAATCGTGTTTGGCCAATACACTTTAGCTAATAGCAAATACACAACTGTCAAGTAAGTTTGTTACCGGCTAACTGAACTTTAAGAAACTTCACAGCTTCTTCGAATGAACTACTATTAGTGATTTAAAATTTTTATTTAAAGTAGTACTGATTGCCCGAACGTTAAACACTGAGCTGGTAAGATGCTCGAGTATATATATGCATATAATGTATAATAGATATGTTCCTCCTGTTAATATGTTCCTCCTGGGAACATTTTCCACAGTCTCAGACGTTTACTTTTCACATAGTTATTGCAGATTTAAATTACAAATCATTGATCAGCATTGTGCTAAAACGCTTGACGATTAAATAAAGCCTTTTTTTGCAAGAAAATACGTAGGATCGTATCTTTATAATGCGATACCAGCATTATCGAATCCCGCATTCTGTGAAATACACTCTGCTAAACACACTAAATACACTTAGTATTTTTCAACGTGTCCAACGAAATCACCATGGGGGGGGGTCCATCAGGGGGAATGTCCTTTCTCAAACGGATATAACCGGAAACGCTTCAACTAGTAGAACCGAGTTGTCGAACGTTATATAATTGATCAAACAGATAATAAAGATAAATAAAGTATATATTATTCATCAGTTGCATTTAATATTGTCATTTCAAAGTGTGCGTGTCTTTTTCTTTAAAAGATACGTTTCAAAATATAACCACTCCTCATCGTCACCAACATGATATGCAGTGGCGATCGTTTGAATGAAAGTAGACTAAGTATGTGCCTTGCTGCATTTGTTCTATCCATTTACCTTAGAAAACCCATTTCTTTTATTTGGTATAGAAAATTCATTTTCGTTTAATGAATATTTTCATATAACGCACGAAAAACAAGCCGGCCTTCCCAGGCCTTCACCCGATCGAGCCCCTTTGAGCCGAGACCGCAGCGCCCTCAGCGGCTACTAGAGCCAACTCAATCTCCACAGCAGCCCCTCACCACCTAATTGTAGCTGTCCTCCTCTTGCTTCTTCTTTACCAGTAGGATCATCAACAACAGGATCCGCCTTCGGCTTTTCTACCTCCTCCGCTTTTCCCCTGCCATACCTCGATGCAACGTACACAAATGTAGCCGACTTCGACATACGTACTATGTTTCTCTATTGCAGCTACTTGCACGGCAAATAGTTATACGGCCAGGACAGAGCAGGGCGGATCACAGAGACACACAGCAGCCACGCGTACGCAGATGCCCTGATGCTACGAACTGCCATCATCCGCCTGTATACAACAACACTCCCACTGCGATACTCCGCTGGCTCTTTTCGCCTACCTGCTATCGCTAACCATCTGTCTCTTTATCTAGAGACAACTATGTAGAACTATCTGCTGTAATCTTTGTTCTGCTGCACACAAAAATCTTCTCGTGTAGTGACATTTCTCTAACGGCATTTCCTGCAAAAGCTGTGACTAATGGCGGTTACAGCTTCTGCTATTGCTACTAGCATTGATACGGTTGCCATAATTTTATCTTATATCTACTATAGCTCATCCTGTGCGACACTATTTGTCTCTCTTTGAACGACCTTAGCATCTGCTCGCCGGTGTTGCCGCTGGCATTGTGAAGTGCCGCTTTGTTCAATTCAACATTAACTTCCACTTCGACTTCAATTCATAGGCTGCTGTTTTCGGCCTCCGTCTGCGGTCATCTATCAATCCAAGCAGTACGATAATCTATTCAGTGCCGTTGACCCATTGACTATCCCACCGATCGACCGAGCAGCTTCCCGGTAAACGAGTGCATGCAAACCTATTATCTGCATTCTATCGTCTGGACTCATCCTTGAGTTGACCTATAATTTATGCCTCTTTGCCCCTGCTCCTACATTGCACTGTTTAATTAGTTAAAGCATGTGTGAGGTGCATAACGCCGTCCGTCCGTCTGTCCCGTGTAACGACCTGACATCAGTAAATACGAGCCCTCGGGGAGCAGTGGCTGCCCATCATCTATGCTATCGACGTTTGATGACCACATACTAGACACTAGTAACAGGTACTTGCTTCTACAGCAAAAACCGATGGAATTAAGAGGCGTGCCATATCGCGATACTACCGTACGTATATACCCTGTCCGCTTTGCTTTTTTCGAAAGCTACCTTCATTCTCGAAATCATAGAGCGTGCGTCTAGAGACGAACACGATAGGGAGCCAAAGAAGAAAGGAACAAAGCAAACCACCGACCAGCGGGAATGAATTAAGTGAATTACGTCATATCAACAAACATAACAAATGGTCGAAACAAAATTATCACAAGTACTCGAGCCGACTCTAATATGACATGAATGCGGATGCTGACTATAGAACCCCATCCCCACCTAGTTAAAAGGCACCGCTCGTTGAAGTACAATCGTCTTCATTCATCTGGCGTCACAAATACACACGGAGTGTCTTCGTCCAGAGACGATAGAACAGGACCCTCCTGCGCTCCCGTTAACCCTGCCAAGCACCGAGGACCGCAGTAGTCTGCCTGCCAAAAGAGAGATCATTATAGGTGCTAAATGAAACCTTCATTTAGGAAAAAAAATTTAGCACCGCATTGCAGCCACTGCTCACCCATCGCTAAACTCCTGCTTCTTTAGTGACAATCGACTATTTTTCGACAGTACGTAAATTGTGAATTCCCACGTATCTATATCATACTGATTATTGCGACGTAGAACGCAGATAAACAAATAGGGTAAGTTTACAGTGTTGTCGAGAGCGTACCGATTTGACACTTTCTTCGTAACTCAAACCTTGATATAACATTTAAAGCTCCTTTGTGCATCGCTTAGATTACGTTATACCCGAGCTCGGGAACTACTTGTATGTCAAAAGGCTTAGTATATATATAATATACCCATTTTTTTTTCGTTGGGAAAACTGAAAAGTAGTTCGTTAGTTGTGACGCTTCTTGCGTATATCAGTGTGGAAAAACAAAAGTATCGTAAGAACAAAGGTCTGAGGTCTGAATTATAAACCTGTTATTGTTGCACTCGTCTTTGCATCCTATAGAGATAAGCGGCTACGCAACGGAGGATAGAATGGATGCGAAATACGCTAGAAGCATAGAAACTTGAGGGGTAAGGGTGTGGTTTCACGCCGAAATCGAACAAAAAATTTTCTCCGAGTTACCGCTGATGCACAACATCATGACAGTCGTTCAAAAAGCCTTAAAGGCTCTGGAGCAAATCGAAGCCATGCGAAGACGGGTAAAAACTTCAGTGCACTATCCGACTATCTTCGAGTGCCGATCGGGGCGAGCAAGGGCGAATCTCTTACTATCCCTGTTAGTGGTACCAGGCGTATTTGCCAGCAGTGTGCCGACTGTCACAGCAGATCTGCACTCCAATAGTAATAGGTAAGAACGTATAGAAACGTAAAAAAAAGCTAGTTGTTACGAGCTACACAGTCGTGGATGCAACTTTCCTCGAATAAAGGCTGAAAGCTCTCAGCAATTATGTAAGATATGTCATAGGCGCATGCTTTTTATTGTTTGAAATAGAAAAAGCAGCAAGTATATTTTGGCACATTTTGACAGCTACTACGTTTGGCTAGGAAGGATCGTCGGAATTACATCTGTAAAGCACTATAACGAACGAGTTTAATCCCAATTACACTGCTCAATTTGGTCTGTCCTTGTTCTTCATTGACAGTGCCTCCGTTTTGGACCCGGAGATCATCTCAAAGGCCGTACTAGATGCCGATCTATCCGTGAACGCAATCAACTTAGCCGCTGAGGAGCTTCCACGGGTGTATAATGTGGGCGCAGTACTATCGCACCCGGAAGGTATCGCTTACTTTGAAGAGGCTATTTTGGACGCCATGGCCACTTATAATATCGATCTAGTCGCTAAGAGCGTACACATGAGCCTCAACCCTATTCGCATGGCTGAAAACGTTTGTGAGCAACTCATCTCACAACAAGGTAAAAAAACCATCTCCTGTAAATCAACTACTCCCCCCAAACGTAACTGCGACTTGTTTTGTTCTGAGCTTGAACACTTCATTATGGATGCAAATTGTATCTATAAACCGGATCGTGAACATGGCGGATTTTAGACGCGGAACATTCAGGTCATAATTTTCATAGGGTAGCACGAGAAAGCAAAGCAAAACAAAACAAAATATCCATATTGTATTGACATTTACGTTAGTAGCAGATCATGGGACAGTTGAATATGAAATGAAAATAACTGATAGTTTGCGAACTTATGCTTTGTCATTTCAGTCTATGCAGTGGTAATTTCAAGCCCGCTAAAAGGTGAACTTTCACCGGCCGCAGTGTCCTATACATGCGGCTTCTATAGCATTCCTGTTATTGGAATCAGCTCTCGACACAGTTCGCTATCGGATAAAGTGGGTTGGTTTAAGGAGCATTGGCATAGCTTAGCTTTGTTTAATATCAGCCAAATGTTTAATCGCTATTAGCTGTTGATTATTAAGTAGTAACAATAAACAATTCATATGTTTTCTTTTCAACAGAACTTGCACAAGACGTTCTTGCGCACGGTGCCGCCATATTCTCATCAGGCTGATGTCTGGATGAAGCTTCTCCGCCATCTGGGCTATCAGAGCGTTGTATTCGTTCACTCGTCGGATAACGATGGTCGCGCTACACTCGGACGATTCCACAGCGTCGCAGCGCAACATAAAAATGCTGTGCACGTACGTGCTTATGCGTAGTCACCTCTCGATCTGCGTTACAAAATTCGCAAATTAGTAGAGAAAAGACTGCCGATGCCAAACGATCTTAGTTATACCCAATATTTTCAACAAATTGCATAGCATACGAAAAGCAAGATAAACATGTTTTTTGTTTGTTTCAACTAGGGACATTATTATAGATATATGTATCACATCGCGAGAAAGTTGTACAACAGACATTGTTATTTATTCTAAAAATTGCGTATATATAATGATCGGCACAGCGTTCCGATTACCAATCCGACATAAACAACGTTCTATTATGCGCTAAAACCAAGTTCCTCATTTTCCTTTTTGGTTGATTCTTCTGTATCATACCAATAGATCGAGCACGTGATCGAATTCGAGTCTGGCGTAAGTGAGACGGACCTAACTGCCGCGCTGAGAAATGCCTCGAGGCGACATTGTCGCGTTTACGTTTTATACGCCGAGTAAGAGTATATATATATATATAGAGAGAGAGAGAGAGAAAGAGAGAGAACGAGAAAAAAACGGCCTTACCACATAATTTTTGATGCCAATTATGAAACTGTAGTAGTATGTCTATGTGCTTACTGTTTACCATTTATTGCCATAATGAGTTAGGCGATGCTGATCCAAACTCTGTCATTGATATATAATACACGTTACTCCCCGGATTGATGAAGTAGAGGACGTTAGTTGTCATTTAAAGTACATCGCACCATTTGTCTCATTCTGGTGCAGAGGTAGCAAAAACTATCGTACATGGTAGACATTCAATTCAGAACTTAGTATTTGGAAAATACGATTCTAAGCTGTGTGGATCTGTGACCCGTCATGCGCGCTGTCTGCAGCACCAGCGAAGCATCGAAGGTTTTCGACGTTGTCAAGAAATTGGATATGACCACTTCAGGCTATGTTTGGATCGTGTCGGAGCAGGCACTCAAGGCACCAAACTGTCCCGATGGTAAGTCGACGATACGATCGAAACAAACAAATATATCCATAAACGCGTACGAATTTTTAACCATGAAATCTAAAATAAAGTATAATGCTTCAGCTAGCAAGCCAACATTTGGTATTCGTCAACGGCCATAAATCTATTTATGGCCGTTGAAATATATTGCCAGCAGTGGATATGTAGTCATGAATCATCTACATCTAGTTTTGTATGACCCATTGACGAACTCCTCGATGTTTATATGAGGCAACGATCCGAAGCGTCGGCCTAAGGCTTTGTTGGTGACGTGATTATAGTGACACATTAGTAGGGCATTTGAACTTTGATTTTATAATCCGTTATCTGTCAATTATTGACAGGCGTCTTGGGACTAGAATTGGTCAACGCGGTGGACGAGCGAGCCCACATCCGCGATTCAGTAAACCTAATCGCCCTCGCTCTTAAGAAGCTCCAGAAGGACTCCAAAGTTGCCGCTCCTCAGCTGAACTGCAGTAATCTCGAGCACAACTGGGATGCTGGACTCAAACTTGTCAGGTTTGTTTACCATTCAACAGTCTGAAATTGTTTGCGTTTTACTTAGGTCCTTTAAATATTTCTTGTTCCTGTCCATTTATATTAGTGTTTTTAATAGTACAATTACAAATACACTTCGTCATCACAATACGACCGCTGCTTTAGCTGACCACGTTCCCATTACGTTCTCAGTTTTAGCCGCTGGCCGGTGCGAGAGCGAAGGAATACTGAATATATTTTAGCTGAATAGGTTCTAATGAATGAATCTATTAACGACCATGTTGTATTATAGACTGTTATGCAGACTGAATATTAGATAACAGTATCACCCTGTGTCAAACTGCGAGGGTTCTTCGAGGTGTTTTTTAGATAGGCATGGCATCCGGCCAGTATCTGCATCGAAACGCAGCTCATGATGCAATTAACCTAATGGCTACCTGCAATCTGTACTATTATTTCTATTTACTTTAATTTAATTTAAAGGTTATCATTGTGTGGTAAGAACCTCGACCTTAGATTGTTTCAAGGATGTTTACATCCCTATTCCAAAACAATAATATCACAACTCAGTGTGACACGTAGGAGAAGAATGTATCAAGATTGCACTTATTCATCAGTGTTAGCTGCGTTTTTATCAAGCTAGCAAATAACCGTAGCGCTTAACCATTCAAAGCAAAATTCAGTGAACTTCTCACTGATCTAGTGTTGTTTCGACTGTTACAGTATTCTTAAGGAGCAGGTGTTAGAAAGCGGAGAGAACGGCCACGTAAAGTTTGATCAGAGAGGAGATCGCCTTAATAGTGACTACGATATATTCAACATCCAACGAGTAAGATAATATAATCACTGTTGGCGTGCTTATGATTGTTCTTGTACAAACACTAATAATAGGACGATGACAAACGCTAGAACACTATCTTCCTCATCATTTTTGTCTTCAAACGCAGGTAGTTTTCAATCAGTTAAATTTACGTAGTGAATAAATATCTCTTTTTTGCATTTGTGTTTCGGCTGTCTGTTAAAGGATAAAGAGAGTTACCTAGTGAAAGTGGGCGAGTACATGTATAGCGAATACGATATGGAGATGGAACTCAAAATCAACCTAAATGCAGTCTCCTGGCCCGGAAAAGCTACAGAAAAGCCTCTTGGCTTCGTCATTCCTAAACACCTTCGGGTAGGCTTCAAATAGACTCAGTCCTGTTTGAAAATCCCACATTTTTTTCATGTTACGAAGTAAATATATAAGAACTGAATGAAAAATCACTTGATATCTGTTAATAAATAAATTAGGTGGCTACCTTGGCCGAGCGTCCATTCGTCTGGAGCCGTAAAGTTAACTCTTCGACGGAGTGTTCATCCGTAGAGATTCTGTGCCCGTGGTACAATAGGACCGCTGACACTGGCCACGACGAGGCCTTCTGCTGCTCTGGCTATTGTATGGATTTGTTGCATTTCCTCGCTTCGAAGCTAAACTTTACTTTCGACCTCTACCTCGTCGAGGACGGACAGTACGGAAACCTCGACTCGGTAGGTTGGTCGACTTGTCAAAAGTATTAATAGACATTTCGTGTTAAATTCACATATTATTTCTACTTATGTGAGTTGAAATTATATATCAGCCTATACATATATGTATATATTTGAGCTGCAGTAGATGCCAACAGTTGGTATAGGTCCATCATCAAATAATTTTCGCATGCGCATTTTTAGAATGTCGAAGGGAAACGTGTATGGACGGGTCTGATCGGAGACCTTGTTCGTAAAAAAGCTGATATGGTCGTGGCTCCTTTGACCATTACCCCTGAGAGGTCAATGGAGGTCGATTTTACGAAGCCATTCAAGTACCAAGGAATAACCATCCTAGCCAAGAAGGTTGTTCATTAGATTTAGAACTTTCTCTTCTCATGTTAGATTTAACTAATGACTATTTTTATGCTATACGATACAAATATTCATGTGACATTTATGTTGAGGGGCTCGCACGTTTATAGTAGGCCCAAGTTTCTATTCAAACTTAGCGATATTTATTTCTGTTCTACTTCCGACTCGGTTGGCCACACTAGCAAGACAAAAGCTCCACCCTGGCGTCATTCCTGCAGCCGTTCCAAAAGTCGCTGTGGATATTGGTAGTGGTTTCAGTGCACGTGGTGGCTTTGGGACTCTATTTGCTGGATCGATTTAGTCCGTTTGGCAATTACCGGGTGCTACCCAGCGAGCGCGATGAGGACGGGCTCAATCTCTCCTCGGCACTGTGGTTTGCCTGGGGAGTCCTGCTCAATTCGGGAATAGCTGAGGGAACTCCTCGGTCATTTTCGGGACGAGTACTGGGTATGGTATGGGCAGGTTTCGCCATGATCGTTGTGGCATCGTACACTGCCAACCTAGCCGCATTTCTTGTGCTTGAAAAGCCTGAATCATCACTGGCAGGCATCAACGACCCACGTCTGCGCAACCCCTCGGAGAATTTCACCTACGCCACTGTGCGAGGCAGCGCCGTCGACACCTACTTTAAGCGGCAGGTGGAACTGCAAAACATGTACCGCATCATGGAAGGCAAGAATTTCGACACGGTGGACCACGGTATACACGCACTAATGAACGGGTTGGTATATGAGTTTGTTACGTCGATTAAGCGACTCATACCATGTGATAGTATCATCACGATTATTCTTGACTATTTGGGTTAGGTAAATAGTCGACACAAAAACGCCAACCCAGTAAAAATAGGGCATCTTTTTCTATCGGCCATCTGTGTTTGCAGAAATATCGATGCGTTCATTTGGGACTCGTCGCGGCTGGAGTACGAGGCTGCGCGCCACTGTGAACTACTAACAGCTGGCGAACAGTTTGGTCGCTCTGGTTACGGAGTGGCTCTGCAAAGGAACTCGTTTTGGGTCGATAAAGTAACACTGGCCTTGCTTGAGATGCACGAAAGTATGTATTTTGGCGGCTTTTAATTATGATGTTGTTGTTCATTCTGCACACAGATTGCTCCAGTAATGGTTTCAGTTGTGATGCTTCGTCACGAGTGCTAATCAAAGTAGTCCGTTGACTGTGGCTTTTTTCGTACCTGAACTACTCCAGGTGGCTTTATGGAGCAACTGGACTCTCTCTGGATTCACAATGGAGGTCGGCGATGCGAGAGCAAGCTAGAACGGACGCCAGCAACCCTTGGACTAACGAATATGGCAGGCGTCTTTATATTGGTTGGGGCAGGAATATTCGGGGGTTTGGTGCTTATTATTATTGAGATCAACTATAAACGCTACTTGGCCAAACAGAAAAGAAGGATGCAAATCGCCAGGAAGGCCGCAGCAAAATGGCGTGGCATCGTTGAGGTGAGTATAACAGGCCGATAGGGAACGCTGCAATAGCAATGTAGATCATACACCAGACACAACTTGATGATTCCCAGTTAGGACTTAGCAGTTTCCTTAAATTATTTCAGTTACAAGTACCATTTCACCAGGCAAACTCATTTGAGTAACGGTAATACACTTGCAGTTTTTAGCTGAAATATATTCGAAATGCTCCCACTGCGCCACGAGCAAAGCATTACTTGTATTGACGTGGGGAGGTTTATTTTCTACAATGAACAAAGATTAGGAACAGCATTTGTTTCTAGTGCAATCGCATCAACCAATCACGCGTCTTATACAAGTCAATTAATTTGCAGCACCCAAGTTATTAACCAGGACGATGTGTGCACACACAACATGCACAGCTTTACTTTCGGTCCACTCCAAATCTTTCCCATTTTTTTAACGTTAATTCCCTTCAGCGGCGGAGATCTCTTCGTCGCCCGTCTCACCATCGGATAATGCTGCCATCGAACATTCAGCAGCTGCCGGTGCTCATCGGGTCGCTGGCATCCGGAATGCCGTCTGCTCAGACAGTTGTCCCAGCCCACAGCGGGGCAAGTAAACACGAAAACCTGGGTCATCAGGGTCTCAGTCGATTAAAGTCGGCCTCTACGTCGATAAAGAGCAGCCATGAAACACGATCCGATTTGGCGGATTTGCCACCACCGCCACCACCGCCTGCGCGGGTCCAGGCGACGCCCGGCACCCGAATGAACGCTTCTACGCGTTACCTCCTTGGCGCTCAGGAGAACAAGCCCGTCTCGTTTGACATTAATGTCTAATAAAACAAACCAGAAAACAACAACAACATAAAGGGAAATACATCGCAGGCAGCTCAAGACCGACAGTTACTCACAACATAATGAAAGGAATGGGTAATATATAGGTATTTGCTCTATAAAACTGAATTATGAACACATTGCCATTACAGTACTTAATTACATCACCCAAAAAATATCAAGTGACTGGAAAAGGGGGACGTTATTAAAATGATGAAGGAGGTGGTAATCGCGTTAGGGAGGTAAAATAATGAAATGCCCTGTTAGTTTGTGCGCCAACGACGGATGATCGTATCTGACTCTTTTGGTCCTGATGTTCTACGTAGGCGAAGTGTCAGACGGCTTCGCCAGTGAAGTCTTCCATAGTTAACACGATACATAAACGATAAGCATCTGCAATGACCGCTATTATATGTTAAATATTTTTTTGGATGAGAGAAGGTTCTTTTTGGATAAAGGTCGTCAAAATAAGCGGCCTTTAACAGCGGGTAGAGTTTTCGGGTTATTGATTTAATAGATGTTATTACACGTGTCGATTCCGCAACGAGCTGTACTTCTGCGCATAGAAACAATGTGATTACGAGTGACTCTTAAAAAGATGTTCGCCCCATAGCTAATATATATATGAACCTATGTCTCGGCAGTGTGACCTCAGCAGTACATGATACCACAGAGATCTGTCTTGTGTTTATACGCCAATTACTTTGTACGGGCAACGCTATTGCATTAGAACTTTACTCACAACGGATAGAATTGCGACAACAGTACTCTTCTTTAACTTACATCAGGACCAGAGTTGGAAGTCAGGGCTAACAGATTAAACTGCAATCATGTCCACCCATACCCTTGCCAGCTTTGCCATCTCCCGGTGTTGTCAATTTCCGTCCCCCAAAGGATTTCGTCGCTATAATAATTCTCAAATGATATACCACTACTAGCAACTGGCATGTAATATCGACGCGATCAATTGTTGATTGACTACACACTGCAGCCCCCAATCGTTATAGATAACGCAAATAGTTATTTCTGGAAACTTTAAGACCATTACAATGTCTAAGTGATGACAAATCGATTTCGCTATCCCGACACCAATGAGATTCTATTGGGTACCATTTTGGTACGTTAATGTTCTCTAATTCCTTCTCATTTCTGTCTGGCCATATATATACATCCTGTTATCCGTTGCTGAACGTACTAGGACAACACTCGCTATATCGTTGCCACATCATGTCCACGCTTTGGCTGACGCTAGCCCAATGGCGACGTTTTTCGTCTGCGCGGGACGATAAACAAGAAGCTGAAACAGCTGATTTTTGCAGTTTCGAAGAGTAGAAATTTGAAAAACGTTCCCATGTTTCTAAATTAGTTGTTTGTTAACGCTCGCTACCCAAGCGGTGCATTATTTGAGTGCTAGAAAAAACTTGAAATCACTACTGCATGATCAGAAGCTACAATTTATCTTTTGTATTGTACCACGATTGTTGATTATGACACTTCCTTTTCTATCGAAATATCGCAAGCAAGCTCCAGCAGTTTAGTATTAAGCAAGTCGGAGCATAAAAACCTGCTAGAGCAATACGAACGATTGTTATTCATTCCGAAACACGTCAATTTTCCAGGCGAGTAAGATTACCTTAAACTCAGCAGGCGGTATAACTCAGGCAGCTAGTCTTTTACGACGAAAACTTTTTAGCGCCTGGCAAATTATTTTATTAGGTAAAGTAAGGTTAAAACATTGAACCAGTTGGGGTTTCGCGCTCATCATTAAGTGCAAGAGCTCTTACTCATAGCAGATCTGAGATGGGATGGAGTGGGATGGGGCGCCGTACTTAGAATACTGGAGGATAGGGTCTAGGCAAGCGATCTAGAAATATGCTCAAACGCCTCACGAATACGCAGTACTTGACTAGCTGCTCTGTTTGTTGAATAGGCAGATTACAATGGAAATCAAAGCTTTTTTTTTTTTTGAAACCATGCGGTTAATGTGTCCTGAGAAATGATGAGGTTCAACAATTCCAACATGGACTCTTTCAAATCCTTGTCTTAAACCGCCGTCGAAAATAAATGGTTTGAATGAAGGCCCACAACCTCTCGCAATTGTGCTGATGACTTAGTCAGCACATAGTTTAAGCCCGTCATATATATACAACACGAATAACTAAACACAGATTATAATACGCTTAGATTAGAAAAAGATTATAATTGCAAGCAACCACAAACAAAATAAGGAAATGTATGAGTGACTTGGTTATGCCAGCCGTTTAATTTCTGACCTCTTCAAAAACCTTCGTGAGAAGGTCTTGTGTCTAATATTTTGGAAATTAGTTCGCACCATTTTTTTTTTGCATACGGCCAGAATATCTACATATATATAATAAATTATCGATGTTACAATTCAAACTCAGTGTGATTATTTTTCGAAAAGCGATGGCATTATACACAAAGTTGAACATTGTTAATGCAGATTGCTTCGTTCGAGGGCGAACGAGAAAGTAATGTTAACGAAGTGGCGAATGTATCAAAGAAATAAGCTAGATCAAGCTGTTATGGCTGGTATTGATTCCGATTAGATGTTACTGCTACTGCTACTACTATTACATCTGGATAAAATTATAATGTCTAAAATAAACTAAAGCACCTAAGGTAAAAAAAAATCAAAAGACCGTGTGTGTGTCATGATGATGATGCCATAGTAATGTACTTGTTTTATGCTTTAGGAAACACATGAGGCGGTTTAAGCGTCGAACCGGATGAAGGTACCTCGTTCCTTATTCTAAATCGTAATCTGCAAATTGCCAGATGTGCATTGATACACGTTGTAGAACATCACGATCAATACATGACGTTTATATGAAGAACCTCTACAAGATTTTGTATGTTTCATAAAGCATTTTCTATCGTCTTACGTCATTGAGGTAACTTTGTGATGAACATGAAGATAACAATTAAGTTTCAGAATTTTCAAGGTCGGAAGCAGAAAGAGGCGTTGCAAAAACATTTTAGTTATATAATTGCATATTTGTCCCTGAAATTCCATGCAAACGTCAACTTTGTGGGGCGCTTAATTTTGTTCGACAATTATTATTATTACCAGTTAATGTGTTTCTATTAAAAAATTGTCTATTGGATACCATCTTTGCCCATTCAAAACCAAAAACGCTTTTTTTGAATGAATATCTACAGTGCCAAAGTTCGTTAAAAATAGGTGGAGTAAACCGAACCGCATACCATGGGCCATCGCTGGACAAGTTAAAGGTAGAAATTAGTGGAAGACGGCCGTCGTTGACAAAAAAACGTTTATTTTACTACGACATCGTACTTCAGTGGTCGCCATGAAAGACTACACAAAATATTATTAATATATTATATTATAATAAAGAATTATTTGATTCCTTAACATATTTAGTAGGTCTGGACCCCAGTGATCTTTTTCTGGGTCGCAGTTCCTTTGGTAGATGCGAGGTTTTCAACGAATGAAGAGGCCAGGTTAAGATGCTACTATTTGCTTACTGCTTGGACGGACTAGATGGAAGCATTGCTAGAAAAAGTATATAGTTTTTCAAAAAACTGGACTGTGAAGCAAGGATAACTTGTTAGGCTGGAAACTTTGCAGACTGCTTAATATACATACATATCTACAGTGACAGGTTAAAACCATAGTTTGTTGGTAATTTTGCCTCATATGCTACAGTCGATTTTTTTTATAACATTCATCCGCATATGTGTCTGAACCATATCCACTTTAGTGATCACATCATAAGGGCGTAGTACCTTCGTTTCACTGCAAGTATTGTACAAATGATTCCGTTTAGGTAGCCCTAATAGATAAGTCGGTAGATTAAATGTAGTCTGTACACTGTGTCTCACTCGCATAAACTGTGGAGTATTATTCCATACTTAGACTAGGAACTTTTACTTTTATAAACGTCGAAATATTTTTAAAATAAATTTCCGTAAGTCAGTAATGGTTATAGATTTTTTTAAACCTGAGTTATAGTTAGTTCTCCGAATGGCTTTAATCGTATTTTGCTAAGACCAGGGCGTTGACATGCTGAAACAGTGCACGATCACAGCAGGCAGGTAAGACTTCAACGATGATTTCGGTGGCTACTTTTTTGGCCTTTCTGGTCGAATATACGCGGAATCGTACTGTTTCTCATGCTGCAAACTTTCGAGTAAAAAGGACGTTAAAGTTTTTTTTTTTTTTTTTTTTATAAACTCGAAGTCGAAATTAGTTCAAATACTTGCTTACTCAAAGGGCTATGTGCTTTTATGAGATTAGAGCCGGCGCCTCTTGGGCGAATACCTCGTAATTCGAATGGTGGCAGTTGATCATTTCGTAAAGTTCTTTCAAATAGTATAACAATTCATGGACTTGACTGAAAATCCATTTCTAATCTATTTACCTACCATTATTATTCCTTTATAGTTAGTTATAGTTATTCCATATAGTTATATTATACCATTATAGTTCCCTTGAGAGAGTTTTTCAAACGGTGGTAAACGATTCGACTTAAGCATCAGATGATAAAGCTCAGATAATATGGTTTATCTAATCTGCACATAATAGAATTTTACTACCACCTCGTCTAGGTAATTTCGCGTTAATCCAAGATTTTGTATAGCAATCTTAGACAACCGTGCATTCTTAGCTACTACACTGGAAACAGTTCTACCGAAAAACGTTGCACCTTCGGCAGAACACTTGTAGGATCATTCAAAAAGCCCGCCACTATGGATTCGGCGTTACTTAAGCGCACGCGACAGTCTAGGTTGGAATTCAACCGTATACATATTGTTTTGATTCGTTGTGGACGAAACTACTCGTCTGAATTGATGCCTAGCAGCTTAAATATTGACTGGTAAAATGCAGAAACCAGTTATTTCGTGACATTAGCCACATACTGTGATACTGAATATGTTAAATGCATACTCACGCAATGTCAATTCAAAGTATATCCTATAAATCCGAAAAGCTTTATAATTATTACAAATAAATTAAAAGTTGAATAATATAGCCGAATTACCTATAAGGCAGAATGAATGTAAGGCTTTCTCACATAACTAGAGATGGGTGTTCTATGGTTTCAAAAAAAAAAAAAAAATTGTCAACAGATCGAAGTATCAAAATAGCTATAGAAATGGCATTTTATCTTAATTAACGCTTATTCTTTAGAAGCTAACAAAGTAGGAGCACTTGTGTTTGGCGCCACGGTCGATTCAAGTGTATATTTCAGACAAATTGCATAGACATTCAAATATGAAGGTTTCGAAAGTACTTGAAATTTTTGTTTTTGGAGCATCCAAGTACCACTCAAACTTGTGGTGAAATTTATGGCGTACGTTCATTCAGTTCACTTTCGAAGTGGTGGTTTCAGCATAAAAGACAAGGCATGCGTATGTTGACTATGAGATTGCCGAAATTTCCACTGTATTTGATTCGAGTCCACGTGTAAGCCAAATTGAAAAATCACAGGAGTATCTAGCGTCACCGTTCAAAGACATCTAGAAAGCCACCACTAGAAAAATTGAGCAAACAGCTGGGTACTTTTTGACTAGAAGCATATGCACACGACCAAGCATTTTCGAAAATTAAATGAGGATAAGTTTATCTTTGCAGAAATGCTTACAGGTGATGGGAAATGATAAGATTATAGTAATGTTACTCCGGGCAGGTTACGGTGAAAGCATGATAATGTTTTTTAAAAGGGAGTGAAACGCGGACCCGATCTAAAGTACGCAGTGCTGTAAATTTGATGGGAAGCGTTCGTCTATGCTCCCTCAAACGATTAGAGATTTTTCTTCGTTAAGTCTTACGAGCAACTCGACAGCTTATGGCAATGCATGAAAGAAAAGCGTCCGGTCATGTTTTACTGTAAAAAGGTCAGCCTCACATGTTTTTGCAAAAATTGTCAGAAATGAATTGGGATAGCTTACCTCACCCAACTTATAACACCGACCCTGCTCTCTTAGATGATTTTTTTTATCCTTCCAAAACTTCCTTAATGAGAAAAATGTTATATACCTCAATTTTTAGCAGTTCGTCGTGAATAAGAATATTAACTTTTAGAAAAAAAGGAAAACCTACTTAAAATGTGAGCAATAGTCATCAGTAATAGCTGCCACCAGATCACTGATTGAAGTTATTTGAAAATTGACTATTTTCATTCAAAATTAAGTGAAATTGATACTTCCTTATAGAACAGCTCAATACAATGTGTACCTAAGGTAGGCCATGCTTGTGTTTGGTTTCGCCGTTCAGGGCAACCGTTAAATCTTACATATACATACTAAACATAACTTGTATATACTTCAGAGCGTGGCTTTTCGACCCTATAGGCACCTAATCCTATAGTCACCCAGATAATTTAGTTTTTATATGGTTCTAACAGACTCATCAAAAACAACAAGGATTTTTCCTATTTGCCAAAGTTGGAGAAAACATTTCTACTGCCTTAAGACTTTTCTCTCACATAGAACGGTACTATTAATTCAGCTATATCTAGGAGCGATACATGTTCGCTATGTTCGACACTTCCGAATCGTAAGTAGGTGCGTCGTCAAGCGTGATCTGTATTCAACTAGTTGAAACACATCAACTCTATAACAATGCGCGACAGTCAGACTGTCAGGATCACAGAAACACTGGAACGCCTTCATTAATTGCCTAGGAGATGCACGGATGGTACTTGAAAATACGGATGGCGGAAACGATTGTAGGGCATAAGTGCTAAAATTAAAGTTCATCACAAATCTGTGGTAACACTGATGGTCATTAGTAGGGGAATGGCTGCTTAAAAAGTCATTTTTCGAACATAAAAACCACCTCACACACAAATCCATGTCACACGTCAATATATTTGAGTTTCCTTTACGCGGATGTCCATTGAATTGCAATGCTAACTTAAAATATGAAGAATAGAAAAAAAAGGCGTAACACACAAATAATGTAGTTAATCGCTTATCCACCCTGATAAACTAGTGCTGCTTCGAACGCTACCGTATTAATATCCTGGTAATGTTTCAGAACGTTTTCGGTTTACAGAACATATCTATTGCATATATTTGTATAAGGACAGTTCGTTAGCGGCAGGTGACAATCTTATATGAAGCACCTTCGTCCTAACATCGTTTTTCATGGCTGAATCTCGTGATGTCCATGGGTAAACTTATACTCGGCCGCCTATAACCAGCATGCATCTTACGTTGTACTGCTGTTTGAACTTCAAGGTCGTACACCAGTCGCGCCTCGTCTTACTGAGACGGGTAACTGGCTAGTAAACTTTTGATAGATAAACAATAACAAGATGTTTGTTTTTTACATCCATGTATTCGAGATTAGTCACTTGATTTGCTCATCAAAGACGGACTTTGAAATAATTTTAGACAAAACGGTTAACGATAGCCCAGTAATGATTTTAGCCTGTTTCAACAATACGAGTTACCTACAGACAATATTTCAGGCCTCACCATTTTTAGCTTACGTGTAATGTAACAGAAATTCCTATATATAGTATATCTTCGAATTCACGGAAAGAACAATTTATTTATGAACGCTATGCAACACACCCGAGATGCCTTACCGCGAAGAACACTACGCGATAAGGATAAACTTACCTCTCAAATGATTTTTCATTGGATACCTGCAACCCTCAATAAGGAAGCAAAGGTGGTCTTATAGTCCCAAAAAAGTAGGTTTGCAATAAAAAAACGATAGGCACATATGTTATACCAGCGGCAAAATATAGGGAGGCCCACATTTACTCTACCGCACAGATAATGAATGTGTTAATAATTGGACGATGGCCGAGTCATAACACATTCACATTCAGATGATCATAAACGGTGCACAGTCTGTTAATCTGTCGGTCCACTTCCTCGCCGAATACGTTTTTTCAAGCTAAAATCAGTTTAGAAAGAAAAATTTACATCAAAGAATCAACGCTAAAGTAGCTAATGCAACTGGCTTTGTTACATAATATTAGCACAAAAGTAAAATTTTGATACAAGGGAAACATGCTGTAATATCTAACGAAGGTACGGCCGATTTGTGTTCAGAAATGTTATTTTGTAGATTTTGAATAATTCGAAAGTGTTTGTGGCCGTCATGATGTTCCCTCAACTTCTTTGCTATTTAATGGGAACAGCTAACTTATATTAGTAAAATTGCTTTACTAGAAGTTAGGTACACAAACGTAGCCTTTGTGGAATGTAACATTTGAAGCCAGGCGCTCTGCGCTGAAGTTTATATTAAATATATGTGCTATTGCAATACTGCAGTGATTGAGGATCTCAACTTCAACTACTAGCCGCATTTCAGTTATATTGGTAGAGTATATAGATCAGTGATAATAATAATAGATCACTTCTTAACTATTCTAGATACTCAATGTTTTGACATTATCATCATAATATAATGAACACAATGATCGTGTATTTTCTTATTACGTCTGCAGTCTTAATCTCGAGCGTTTACATAGATTTCTGTTTTTGCAAGGAGTCTCCGCATTTTTTTAAACAGGACGGGATCCATCCTCTATATTTCATTCTAATCAGGTAACCGCCTAAGAGTTCAGTTTCTTCCTGCCATTTTTCTTTTGCCATATTTGATAATAAATTCTGGGTTTCTTAGAATGTTTGTCATACGAGTTAACGAATCAATAGAATTTGAAACACGACTCCATGGTAAGGCAAGGTCCAGAACTCTTGCTTCTTAACTAGTGTTATGCTTGTTGGGAAACCTTCGACTAGAAAGGGGCCAGAGTATTGTAAAAACTGAATTATCGCATATTTATTTTACCGAAAACATTTTATTTTTATATTCATACTTGCGGTCGTTATTTCGGTTAAGCACAAGGTCTGTTATTCAACAATGGGGTCCCAAGCCTGAGTGGCAACGCCATACTGGTTCTGCTTTTTGCGAGATATAAATAGCTCTGCTTACATTGGCCTCTACCGTAGCTCTGCTTACGTTATCGCCCCACGAGTTCTTTACGATCCTCAAATTTTGGAATTTAAAAATACCGTAAGACTTGTACCGAAGCCTCCAACACCAACAGAATAACAATTATTTAGTTAGCGATGCTTTAATGGTTGTAGATGAGCTATGACCTGTTAACTATTGTTAAGGCCTGTTATCTTTGTCCTTGAAACAACACTCGTTGCACCTTAACGTATAGTTAATTAAATAACCATTTGTCCACCTAAATAGTATCGTAGCCGACAGCCAGAACACCGGCGTGCAGAGATTCAGAGGAGCAAAAAGGCTCATCATAGGGGCCTGAACTGTACAGCTAGGGCGAGTCTTGGGGAGCACCTTGTCGTTCTGGGCAGTAACAACAACGTAGCCAATTAAAATGGTTGCGATGAAGTTTTGATTGAGTGGTGTGCGAATAGCTCTTCTCGGTATCGAGTTTACCTTTACCAATAATGTAGTGGAAGACCTTAGCAATAAGCCCGCCGTTGCAGTCCGGGTTGCCTTACGAACCTTAACAACCGATAGGCTGCTGCTGCTGCTGCTCCTAGAGAGAGACAATTTTCCTTATTTCGGCGAAGTGCTGTCTCTCAGGAGAACCGTTGGTCAAGAAAGCAGATCAAGAGGCACACCGTTCTTGACGTCGGTGATGTAGCCTCCTTCTACCAGTTGACCTTAGTGGGAGGTTTAACAGGCTCGAAGTTTCATTGCCGGAAGCGCTGTTTACTGTACAGGAAGGACTCTCCATGATTTATACTGAAAGTTAACCATACTTTAAATAGATTCCAAAATAAAATGAAACTTGGAAAAAACTGTGAATAGGCAACCTAAGCGTTGCCATGAAGGAAAAAAGAGTTAAAGATTTCTAATACAAAGGCGGCAAGTACATTTGTTATTATTGATTCACAGATTATTCACAGATTCATGATTATTGTTGATTATATGGACTGAGTGCACTAAAAATGAGGCTTTTGAGAAGTTTTGATTCAACATGAAACAACAATGAATAAGCTCATTTTGGACAAATTGCAGATGTGTGATGTCATACCTTAGATGGCTTAGCACTTGGAAGAGCACCGGTTAACTTAAATCCCAGGCGGTACGATGTAAAGCTTAAGTTATGACAGAGGTTGTATCCGTTGATGCGTTTGATGAAATTTTAAAGATACCAGTGGTAGAGGCGTAAGGCTTTCCGCGAACGCTCATCGGCGGCTCAATTAGCGTAGAGGTTGGCCACAAAAACGCCCCTCCGGCCGAGAGCGATAGTAAAATCGAACGTGCTAAGGGACATCAGTTGTGTCACTTCGTCCTGCTTTTCTTATCACGTGCTTTTCTATAAAATTAGATGAACTAAAAACATTTCTAACAGATTATAGCTTTACTTACACAATTATCCAGAAAGCTTGCCTTTTTTTTACTCTTTCCATTGATATGGCGAAGTTTAATATGCTCTAAGCTGGCGGTTGGCATTGTAATCGAGCTACCGTTATCTCTTTTTGATAAAAGCGGAGAAACGCTTTTAATAGGCTTAATCTTAGACACAATCCTCTACGAAGAGGGAATCGACAAAAATCGTCTCGGACGGTGTCGATGGGCCTCTTCTTCTAGCCTCCGCTACGGGGACGATTGCTGCTAATTCATGATAGCCACGTGTGGTGTTTGAATTTAACATCGATTACATGACATGCGTTGACAAAAAGGGTTAAGAAAAAAGAATGAATTAATGGTGTAAAGTCGGTGCTGACTTTTGTCAAGATGATTAAAGTGGCTTAACCATGACGTTCTTACGCTGACGTGCTTGTAACACGTAGAAACAAGTAACCTAGAAAAAAACATTTACGTTTCGATAGTGACAGTCTACCAGCTACACCAAAGTGAAAGATGATAGTGAACCGGTTTCTGGCTAGCAGAAGATCAACAATATTGTCACTGCCTTTTCCACTACACTGTCGGGTATATTCAGAGGCATCTTATGAATATCGATACTAACGACCTTTCGTTTTTCTAACTATAAAATTGTGTTACTATGAGAGTCTATCTACAACGCCAGTAGAAACAACCAGCAACAACAAAATTTAGGAAACTAACCAATAATCGTGCTTTGAAATTTATGACAGTATTAGTATCAGGCACTTTACCATATATTAGCACAAACACGACAGTCAACAAGCCCCCTTTGAAATTTGACGACTGCATAAATAAAATATTCTAGCTGGTATAATAATTCCTATTGTTGCTGATTGAAGAAACAAACTGCGTTTTTCACAGGAGAGTTTCTATTTATATGCCCATAAATCGGTCTTAGATAGCAGAGTGTGTTGAACAGTTATTCGCGTATAACTATTAGTTCCCTATTATAGGAGATCGGCAAGTTGAGATACTTGTAATAGGCACACTGGAGCGTAAGGATATTTAAGTGGTTCTCAGTGATGCTCTCACACAATGGGACTCAATGAGAAATAAACACCTATAATGCATCAGGAAGTAAGCTAACAAGTTAGTAGCTAGACTCATGCGTGAAGTTACGCGTACTAATTTCCGCTAGAACACCGGACAGGATATCGAGCTGAAAAGACTCTCAACAACGGACGGAAAGGTATTCAGTGTCTCTGTACACAAATTACACTACCACAAAAGGCGTGTCGAAATCGTAGTTGGTTTAGACAGAACAAGCTTCTTTAAGGATTCAAACATTGCATTGCATGCATTTTCAGATCGCCGCTATACAGTATGCATCATAGTTATCTGTTAGTACTTTAGAAGTTTCATAGGTGTGTTGATTGGTAGTACAAATTATCCGCAAGGATGAATTTATCGTTAGGGGTCGACATATGCTTTATTCAAAGTTTTGTGAAAATAGTGCCAATATTTACATGTTTTTTTTCATGGCGCACGGGAAACTTCCTACGGAAATAAGCTAACGACGCAGTTTTTCTCGATAACTTATAATAAAGCTTTGCTGCTAGGTCTTGTGGTTATTTTTAATCTTGTCGGGGTTAGTGTCTTCAAACTTAAGATACGTCTATTGATACTCTCAAGCGACTGCTGGGTAATGGTTCTGAAGCAAACGCTTACTCATATAAGCACTTGAAGACATCCCGTATTTCGAACACTTTCAATCCTCTCCAACTTGGACACCATAGAGACGCTTTGTATAACACCGGTGACTCAACGTATATCTTGAATAGTTTATTCGTAAAGCTGGGTCTTTTAGAACAAATGCGAGTAGAATGCGGTTTGATGATTTACGTATTTCAAAAGTAACTGTCGTAGCAATTTATTGGAAGTTAAGAGCTATTGTAAATAAGTTGGGTGGGCCAATGAGATGTACTCGATTCCAAGCGTGGAACGACACATCTCCAACCCCATCTTGGGGAGTCGGCCGAATCTTCCAACCCAATTTAATAATCTGCGCTAAAAACTCATGTAAAGTTTTTTGTGGCAGAAAATCCCATCATGTTTGTCGACTTTTACGTCATATACATAAATTATCATAAATACAGATGGGGTAATGGACCTTACTGAACACACTAACGTAAAAGCTGAGAAACGTTTGAATCCATTTAATCTATCGATTATTGAAGGTGAACTGAATAAGTGTCTTTAGAAGCCTGGGAAAAGTGCGAAGGCTGACTTAAAATCAAAGTACATAACGCCGCAATATAAAAACATGTTCATGAACCTTACCTATCGAAAGCACGTTTTAAGTAGCCGTGGATCAAAGCTTTGTCTCTGTTTGTAGGCAAGCTGAACGCCGTATATCAGCGTATTTAAAATTTTTCTTCGTGACACACACATTAAGTAAAAACTTCTGTTCGGATAACACAAACGTTTGCATCTGCGTAGCGTTTAAAATAAGCCAGTATTTTTGATGTCTGAGCACGGGTCAAAATGGCGTCAAAATTTATTTTCTACTAACGAGTAGTCATAATAGAAAGTTCAGCCTATATTTTGAGGATCAAAAAACACTTGAAAAGTCTGGTATTTTCTTCGAAATAAAGTAGGTGCTTATCGAATGAGCATTGAAAACATAATAAGTCGATTTAATAGATTTTTGATATCTTTACGAATGCGTTTCTAATTTGTAAGATCTCTGTAAGAGTGACCTTTTTTATCCGTTAATATTTTCAGCTGGGGATCTACTAGATGTATTTTTTCTGTCCCTTTCACAATACCTATGCGAAGTTTTTATGCAACAGCTTACACAATATACTATTTGTTTTGATAGCTCCTCTTTAGTATCTTGCTGAAAATTGTTATTTTGTCCAAAAATCACGGCGTGCCATTGATCAGAGGACTAATTGTAATGAGGTTTACAAGGATGTAACTGCCATAAAAGTGTTCGAAGGTGTCTTGAATGAACCTCACTTCGAATATCGTCTTAAAATATAGTCAATCTTTCTTTTAATGCATGAATTGAGGTCTCCGTACTTATAATTTCCCTATTGATGGGAATGTATTTCTGCTCAAATGTCAACTAGATATCATAAAGTCAATGTTTTGATCGATAATTGAAAAGAAAAAAATACACGATGCGTAGCTTACATCATTTCGCGTTACGGATTTAGTTATATATATACATACGAAGATGTGCCATCTATTCAGGGCTCATAATCAATTCCAAGAAGACTGATGAAAAATATCTATTAACTAAAACATACATTGCAGATTGTGTCAACCAAGGATAAGAAAATTTCTTTGATCGATCTCCATGCACATTCGTTTTTTCCGAAAAGTTAACATGTGTCACAGATTATCGGCTGGCTAACTTTAAACTGACGCGCGCTTCCAGCTATAAACTGGGTCGAATCAGGTGATTACTGCGACAATGTCCGTGCAAGCCGTAACGATTTGTTTCCGCTGCGCATTTTGAAGAAATTATCTACTGCAATGACACCCTCCTGAAAATTGTCCATTACTTTGCAAGGTGCCTTCTTGCGAATCGTATTCTGACACTGCTTCATACACGGAATAACGACTTTTGACGAAGAAAATAAAGTTAGCTTAAAATACATCGAAGAATGTAATAACGATCGTTTGGTGATTATATGTAAAGGTATCATTTTAGAACCCTTTCCCTATGAAGATAGGTTTTCCTTGACCGTTAGTTAGCTTTTACATTTAACACCAAGATCGTATTTGGGTTTATTTTGTTACATCTAGAACATGAGAAACGCTCGTCCTGGTCGACTCCCGGTTGAAGCGTTTTCGACTGACACATTAGAAACTGACCAAAAAACCAAATAACATCTTTCGGCCTAATATTGTTATACATTCGGTAAGATATAGAGGAAAGTATTATTATTCCGTACAATCAATGCTACTCTACAACCTGGCTGTATCTAACAAATAGAGTTACTAATGGCTAATAATTACCGAAATTTGCAAACGAATTGTTTCAAGTCCTTGGTCCGGCATCGCCGTCAGGCATTCCCATCATACGTTTGGCTTTCAGCATGAAACGAAACGTATCCACGCCCGTATTCAAACCTAAACCATCACAGATCCTTAAAAGTACCACGCAAATATGTTACCCGCTTATCTATCGCGCAGGCAGTCTCGCACATAGCTCCTAAAAAAAGCGCCATCTGTGGGATTGCATAGGCGGCTACTAAAGCCTCTTCGAGTCCTTCGCAATGGGGCAGACATTTACGCAAAGGATGTAGAGTAATTTTTAATTAAGTATGTTTTGTGATTAAAGTATGTTTTGTGGAGAAATAACTCTCTGCCGAACAACTTGCAGAACATTCTATACCTAGTAACGAAAGAGAAGATTCGGTTATCTATAAATATATTAGGGTATTATTTAATCAAACACAGAACTACCAACCTGGGGTAATATTCAGCCACTGACAGATGCCCAACAACCAAACGTAGGAACAGCGTATCATGAGCAAAAGTTGAAAACAAATGGTAACGAGAGTAACGTTTACAATGAAGAATACACTAATTTTACTCATACGGTCAACCACAGGCGGTTTGAGATGTTCGTTTTATTTTGAACATTGAAGTATATGAGTGATTATTTTTCTAAAAATAAAACTTTTTAGGGCCAATACTTTCCCTTAGAGTCTACCACCTTCTATTGAAGTGCTTATTTCTATAAGCATAGCTTGTTTCTTCATTTACTATTTTTATTGACTTAGGTTTTACAATAAAAACAATGTATAAGGAATTTTTAAGAATAATAGTTATAAGAGCTAATCTTAATATAGATTTGTATTTTGTCAGTATGTTGTGAGCGTAATAATTGTGCTTTTTGTGCATTCATTAACAATAAAGAAATGTCCACGCCCAGTACTAAATATGGATCAGTATATTCATAAAAAACTAATAAAGTACAAAGTGATGTACGCAGTGATGATGCCAGTATTTTATTTTTATTATAGCATATGTTTAATTGCCATTCATTAATTTGGAGATTTCGAAGAATTATTTTACTATACGACAGGGTACGACGCCTGGGTAGCAATACCGCACTGGTTCTCCTTGTTGCGGGACATACGGATATAGCCCTGCTCTCCCCAGTCACTACCCCACGAGTTCTTCACGATCCAGAAGTCCTACGAGAAATTAGTCATACTCTCATGAGGATACTGCTCATAGTCCTAAGGATACCTGGTTTTTATGATATATTATGGTATCTTAATGTACTTGACTCTGAAGTAGATGTTTGAACAGTCCGAAATAAATGGTAGATAAGCTCTTGGATTCTTACCTTTCCGTCTTCGGAACCGTAGCCGACAACCAAGACGCCGTGGTCCAGGCTTTCCGAGGAGCAATCAGGCTCGTCGTAGATACCGCTCGTGTAGAAACTGAAGGATGCTTGGGAGGCATCAATAGACACGGACACCGGGCCCACCTTTATAGAAATAAAAATTTGGGACGAAATTGTGATCGCCGTGTCAAAATAGGGGAATATGATTTAACATGGACGCAAACGCGGACTTGTTTCCTCTGATGCTAAAAAGTACAGGAGAGATGCCCAGGCATTATAGTTTGAAGAAAGATAAAGGATTTTACCCTGATATAGATTAATAAAATACTTACAGTAGCTACAGCCTTTTCGAGAGCTTTCTCATCTTGATAGGTAACGTCAACGTAATTACGCAGAGTTGTTCCAATGAAGTTTTGGTTGAAGCGACATTCACCATCCTTAGCGGTGTACGAATAGCTTTCCTCGGTATCTAGTCCACCAGTAGCCCTGACGTACTGGAAGGCCTGATCCATGATGCCGCCGTTGCAGCCCTGATTGCCGTACATGCCCGAACAGTCGACAAGCTGTTGCTCCGAAAGAGAGACGAGTTTGCCAGTTTTAGCAAAATGCTGTCCCTCAAGAGCGCCAGTGGCTGAGAAGGCCCAGCAAGAGCCGCATTGTCCTTGATTCTTGACAGCGGTAACGTAGCCTTTCGTCCTCCAGTCGACCTCGGCGGGAAGCTTAACGGACTCAAGGTTCTGGGGCGTTCCATGGCGAACCGTGGCCGTTGCGTTGTATTGCAGTCCCTTATGCTGGCGGAATTCCTCGTTGGTCTATAATGAAAGTTGGAAAGTTTGCCATATTTCAGAAAAACTTCAGAAGAAGTGATACACTTCTAGTGAACTATAGTTAGCTCGTCTGAACGTTGAAGCGAAAAACGAGGGTCAAATCGTTCCGATACGAAGACGGCGAGCAATTCTTGTCAAATACGCATTGTCACTCATAGTTCACAAGATAGATTGCAAGCAAAAAATCAGGCCTGGAAAGTATTTGCGCACAGGATATGTATATTTTACTAATAAAGGATCGAAATGAACGCATTGGACGGGGGACCTTTCAAATCATTATTATGCACAAAACAACCTTTTGTGCCAATTCTTAGATGTTTCTTTTTAACATACCACAAGACGCGTAACATTCTACCATAGACAGCTTAGTGCTTTGAAGTACGCACCATATCGGCGAACTTATTAAGTCCTAGACGATACGAAATGAGACCGAGATCATAGTGAAGGTTGTGGTCGTTGATGCGCTTCACATTGTTTTCAAATATAGCCCGGCGGCTCTCCTCCTCTTTGAGATTGTACTTTTTTTTATGCACTTTTTTAAACGCGGCCCAGTGGTTATCGAGGTGGTGACTGTACGCCACGCAGACGCTGACCAGAGCAAGGGCAGTAATGACACGGAACATCCTGGTGAATAAGATGATATCCGCATAAATCAATATATTTTACTAATAAATGCAGAGAGTCGTACGCCGGTAGTGAACATTAACATAAGTGTTCTCTTCTGTTTAGGCGAATGATACAAAGTGAGAACTCTTTAAGAAGATCTTTAAACATCGACAAGTTTCAGTATCGAAATGTTGTTTCGATCCTCAGGAGAGCACCTACCTTGTTTTAATTGTGAGTCCTAAAAACAGGTGAGTATCAGGCTTATTTATACCCATGTAGCCAAGCTTACAAATGACGTAATGGCCGACACGGTCAGCCGATTCACGATCATTATGGATTATGGAGATTAGTCGAACTCCCCTTAACAAATGGATGACAATCGTATTAAATCGTTCGCTGATCGTATTCTTATCCTTAATTTAGAGGAGCTTTTTTATAGCGGCTGGCATCTCTGCGCAATTTGCCTTGTAACATATTTCGAGCTCGAAGCGATAGTTTGCATGTTTTTCTTGACGTTTAGGTTCCAAATGCTTTCTAGGTAATAGAAGAATAACATTTCATTAACAAGCACCATGTGTGAATACCTTTCAGAATACGTACGTAATTTACATCGTATTTAGTATAAACATGTTTCCAGAATAGGACTGTAATGTGATTGTATATATAAAATAGCTCGTCTGAATCGAAATGTTTAAACGGCGACAGCGTTCACTCGTCACATACAGAATTACACCGGATAGAGTTATGCTTAACTTATCCGCTAAAATGCCCACCGTCCCTTTAAGAGACCGTATATCAATAGTACATATAGTATATATCTTTAGGAGGAGTAATGTTACAAAATGATTTGCCCGTTAGGAACAACGAAAAACTGGGACAAATAAATGAAAAAACGGAAGTATGAGCACGATTCTAATATCCAGTGAACTCGAACGCAAAGTTAACGCGGCTTTTTATCGCCCCACAAAAAAATCCACTACATGCAATGGAGATCGAATGTAATATATATATATATATATATATATATATATATATATATATATATATATATAGGGGGAGAGAGAGAGAGAGAGGGAGAGTCTAATAAATAAAAAAGGAAAGGTCAATATGTAGAAGAGGTTTTTGTAATCTTCTTTAGTTTATGGGTTCGTAGTCAGCCAACGCTGTGTTTATTAAAAGGATCTGTCTTTGTACTTCATTTCAGTACATTTTTGTTGTACTAAGAGACGAATATATATTTTAGGTAGCATACTTTTGTAGAATAAAATCGTGGCTAAAGAAATTTGAATAAAATTAAGTGCAATTTCATAAAAATATATTCTATATCTGACAGCAAGTCAAGGCCACATGTCCACGTGGTTTAAACGTTCGATTAGTGAACTGAAATAGGACATATCCTTCACTTTTGCCTTTATAATTTGCATTTATTCTAATAAATATACGTATACAAAATGAAAAACACTAAGCTGCTGTATCGTCAAAATTCTGGGTGAAAGTTCCGCTGAATCTGTTGTCGCTGACTGTGACAGGCGGTCAACTAGTCGCATGAAGTCATGCGCTGGATTCAGTTATCTAATAATGAAAATTCTTGTCGTCAGTTCGCGTGCTTCAGATCACTGTAGTCGCCTGTCCACTGGAAATTGTTTGGCCTTCTAAAGAAATGCAAATGTCCACTTCAACGAGGTGAGGAGTTGTCGTATAGACGTGGTAACAGTTGCAAACACTCATATGAGTCAAGCGTTTCGAATGTATTTAGGAAGATTAGGTTCAGCTACAAGCACTAACTAGGACTAAATAGGTGAAATTAATAGTGCAACTTTACAATGTATCACAAAATGGGCTGTACGATATAACCGTTAGCAGGACGAGCATCATCAACTATTTTTCAAATTCCAGCAATATACAACTTAGATAGAGCTTTATAGGTATTACTTTAAAGACTTCAACTTCTTGTGCGACAGAGGCAAGGTAAGAAAATCAACTGAATTAAACTTTCAACCATCCATCAATCTGCAGGATTTCAATAACGAGAATACTTTCGTATACGGCTGAAGCAATGGCAGTATCGAACGTGGAACTTGTAACACTGATCGTTTTAAAGGACAACAGTTGCGCTGCAAGGTTGCAGGACGAACGGACCTAGCCAAAATCATCAACGCTGTTGATGTGTGTTGAAAAAGTTGTCCTTAGGTACAACATACGACTTGTCAAATACTTTTCCCGTTCTTTAACTTCTACGTTGTATTATAACTCGACAGGGAGACCGCCTTGGCGTTCACCTTGGCTCAGATTAGCACAGCTTAGTTACGCGGACTATAAGCTGGAGGTTTCCAGTGTTAAAGATGGCTTCCATTCACGCCTAGACCATCTTATAGCGCAAAGATTAACAGACGAACGGTCTACTCACTAAGCTGCAATGGCAACGTAGACTCTCAGCCGGTAATACCCAAGGTCCTTTCGCTGAGAATCGACAAGATCACGTGAATTCGCCTAGTCACAATTGCCTTCTACAGTATTAACCTTTGTCGGTAACACATTTGACTTTAGGGGCAATCGTTTGCCTTAGGGTCATTCATAACTGTTATACTGCGCTAACTTCAATGATGGCTAATGTTAATCTTGTTGTAACTTACGAGGAACAATGAGTCAGAAGTTTCGCTTATTCTCATCGTTATGTTGTAGTGTTTATATATAACAGGGGCAAATTGACAGGCCTCTTCAGCTATGAGAATTTTTCTCTCTACCTGCCGTTGTTTCTATATCTTGCGCGCATACGTTGTTTTCTGCGTGCGGCAGTATTGCCGGTGCCGAATTTCGCTATCTCCTGCCCGATAGTTCAACGCGGCGATTCGACCATGCTACCGTGTACACCATGTATACCTTTATAGTAAGTTAAGTTACCTCACTTACTAATTCGGTTACATACAAAATGCTCAAAAACGTATCGAAAAACTAGCTTATGCTTTTGTAGAAACATCTTTCAGACATGCTTATTTAATTCATTGTGATACATTTGCGTAATATCGTTTACGCGACGTCCGCTAGTGACCCCCTGACCTTGTTCGACCGGAAGCGTATGCACTCTGCCACTTACGCCCGTTTGCGGCCCGCTTCTACAACGTAGTATACATATAGATGAGCATGGAAGCGAACTTTTAAGAAGGTATCCTTAAAACAATTATATATTGTTAATGTTTTATCAGTTTCGATTGATCCGTTTGTATGCAAATCTTAGCGGACATCTTCTGTATGTCTTTTAGAGGTGCTAGTCGAATCTACAGTTTGCATCCTACAGTTTTAGCGAGCTAGTATCACTGAGGTCGCCAAACAATGATAAGACAAACGCAAGGCGTTAGTGTAAATTTTACGCCATAAGAATCTGTGTACGTACAGTGTACCAGCTGATCGGGCAAGCCGTCTCGCTTCCTGCCACTTGGGAATAATATTTGGCTGTGACCTTTCATGGGCCTTTTTTCACAGTTTACATACTAAACCTTCGTAGAAGATGACATTTTTTGCCCTAAATCGAAACCTTAAGAATACATCTAATATTCAATACGTGATTACTTACCGCATAATTTAGGTGGGCCTCATTATATAAGCCAAACGTCATTCTATGCTGGTAAACTTACTCCTTTTAATTTGCAGAAGTGAACCTTTTTGATGTAAAGTTATTTTCCATTAAGTTCAAATGTATGCACCTTACTATTACAGAATGCATGCTGCTCAAGTCAATTCACTGCTGCAAGCTAAGGAGTGTCCTGTAGGTGCGCTTTTTATTGTTACTATTTAGAATAGCCTTGTGGCAAATTCGGATGCCCCTCATGCGGGACGGCAGGGGTGGAGGTAATATTGACATTATTATTCAACAATAAATAGTTCCTTCGTTGCGAATTATTTGGTTCTTCTCGATGTACTTTTGAGGTGTATTAGAGTGTATTTTTCCCGTGGCCCAGTGCGTTCTAAACATATAAATACGTTAGTGACTAGATACCAAGTGATAACATCATATATTTACTGAGATCATATAGTTAAGAACTTACAGTTTATTTGGATTGGCTTATCCGGCACGTACGGCTAATGGCCGCATAAAAGTGGTAAATAAGGGGGTAGCCAAATCGCTTGGTCTTCAATCAGACCGAATTCACAGAAATCGCTCGTTTCTAATGGTACAATCAGCAGGTAATACGGACCTGGAAACCCATAAAGCGTTTCTTTCCCTACAATCGCTTGAAAATTATAACTCAAAATCAAATAACTCTGTTAATTATAAAACGTCTCGAACGCGGGTCCAGGGGATAGCTCGGACTTGTCACGGGATGCTTCTACGGCTGAAAAGTAAAAAATAACTGGGATTCGAATTTAATCGCACTTTACGGTCTAGTATAGTCTCGCTATCCTTCGTTGAATACTTACGTGTTACAAAATCGTATGCATATAATGCTTAAAAGGTCCATTGAATAATCCTGCTGGGCTATCAGTGTTACCGTCAACTGGGGTGTTTTGTAAGTTAATTAGATGCCAACTTAACGCAATACCTGTAGATACCATCTTGGTGGTCTTATCATCATATAGGTAAAAAAAAAACGACATAGAGAATCCACTTTTAACCTGTATTAGATTTTACGGTTATGTTTATTCTTTCGAAAAATGTTTTTGTTAAATATAACTGGCTTACTTGATTTAATATATTTAACCTTTTAATTAATCATGTTTAAACAATTTATTTATTAGTAAATGGTCCAGGGTTTAGTCACCGGGCTGTACCAGAGACTGCATTGTATGTGTACGAACTTTGAAACACAATGTGTCTTCGATTCAATCATAATGTCTAATCCGAATTTAATAATTCAATCAAATTCTGTCTGGAAAAAACGTACTGAACGTGAACTGTCTTTTGCTGATGCGTGGGCGAACCCGCATGAGTTAGCTGCGTCAGATTTTATAGACAGAGACTCAACCGTACAAACCAGCCGTAACTCGAGTCCTAAATAAAATCTGCATCGATAACAAGGGCTACTTAGACCTTCGTAGAGTCAGGCTCACAGCTTCAATGTGAACACGAGTTATACTGTATCGTAAAGGTCACACATATTTTAGTCAGTTGCGTTTCTATTGGGACTACCGTTCACTTTCTTAATTCTGCGCGATTTATTTTTGCCATTGACGAATACTTTGTTTTCGCCCACTTAAAGCTAAAAAAGGCCATCAGAAATGCTACGTTTATCAATGAAGGCTGACGCCTCCAACGGCATGCGGACTTTTAGAGCCTCAAATGCGAACTGACCCT